TTTGGTCAAATAAATGTTCATCAACACATTAAAGTTTCGATATGCCAGGACATACGTGGCATGCGCCAGGTGTCTCACAAATCGTACACATGGATATGACTCATCAAAATCGAACAAGTCATCAAGAATGACACATATCAACACTTGGCAAAAATGAATTATTTGATTTTAATTTAACTAAATCAAATATTAATTGATGGAGACAAATCACAAACCGGCCCACAAATCGAGTCCTTGTTCTTTCGTCAATTAATCAAGCCCACGTCAAGGCCAAATCCATCAGTGGGCAAGGCTTAGAGAGTCTATAAATAGGAGGCTCTAAGACAAAGAAAATGGGCTAGAAAATCATTCACACCCATACATTGAAGTTTTGAAACTCTAAAGCTCTCAAGCACTCAAACCCCTCAAACATTCAAACGCTCAAGAAGACTTGGAAGACCGCATTCTTCTTCAAACCCGTGAAGAACCACCAAGTACCCCTACACGTGCCGGTTCTTCCATTGCCAAGAGCCAAAACCTCGCGACATCCATTCATCTAATATCAAGTCATCGCGACCCTTGGATCAACAACCCCTCCATCACACATCTACACATTTTGGAGATCAAATCAGATGATAAAGTTGTAAAGAGATTGTAACCCTACAAATACATTAATACAAATATTATTTTGTACATGTGTTCTTGTTTCATTTGCTACAGAATTTTCGTTTTTACACATGGTTCAACTAATTAAGCCTTATGGCTCACTATCATGAGATAAACTTTATTGGGCATAAAACGGAAAGTTTCATGCTCCCGTGAGAAGTGTCTTGCAATAAAAAATGACTCACGTAAAACAGTTTGCTTAGTCAAAATGGCATTTTAAACTACTAATAATAATATAAGCTCATGTGTAGTACTTTATTTACATAACATTATGGCTAAATCGTCAAAATGGTTTCTGAGCTTTGCATAACACATCACTTTGGTCCCTAAGATTTCAAATCTAGAAGTGGTCCCTAAGATTGTCCACCATCCATCATTATGGTCCTTCCGTTAAAAACTCCGTGAAGTGTCCCGGAGCTCTTGGCCGGAAGTTTGGGCAATTTTCAAACCTTCGTAACTCAATCGTTTCTTAACCAAATTCGACCCATAATATATCAAAATGAAGATAGGAAAGTGTAGAATAAGATTATACCTATTTGGAAGGCCAATGGTTGCCGGAGATGGCCGGAAAAATAATCTTATTCTACACTTTCCTATCTTCATTTTGATATATTATGGGTCGAATTTGGTTAAGAAATGATTGAGTTACGAAGCTTTGAAATTGCCCAAACTTCTAGCCAAGAACTCCGGAACACTTAATGGAGTTTTTAACTGAATGATCAAAATGATGGATGGTAGACAATCTTAGGGACCACTTCTGTTGATTTGTAATCTTATGGATCAAAGTGATGTGTTATGCAAATCTCAAAGACCATTTTAACAATTTAACCTTATATCAAATTATCAATGACTTGAAATACTACATTCGCAATTATCTCGTTTTACATGAAATAAAATAAACGAACGTGATCAAACATATGTAATGTAAAGAGGATGGAAACCCACTTTTCTTGTTTTTCTTGTGGAGGGTTGAAAACGGAAAACCCCACCCAAGTTTCTTCACCAACGGCCACATCTTTCAAACTTCACGGTCAAATCAAGATAAAGAAATAAAGGAGAGAAATAATTAAAGATATTTAAAAATGTCTGCTTTAATGATTATTTACCATCGTCACATGGAAAAGAAGCTGGAAAGTGAAGAAAAGAGGTTGTGTGTCACACTTTGTTTGGAGAAACAACATCATCATGAACTGCGGTGGGTTGAGTTACTTATTTCACGACCCCATGAAAAGTTGGTTGCATCAGTAAACCCAGCTAACAATTGGATCCCTCACAACAAGAATATGAACTCAGATTGCAACGTTTTTCATCTTTACAGCATTTTAATTCATCTCTCTTTTACTTATGCAAATTTTACATATGATCTTTTGTTTGATCACGTTACTGTTTTTGTTCGTATTGTTTTGGCAATGTTTCACTTTTTGTTCGTGCAACTTCAATTTTACGTTTCTTGGATTTATAGCTTATTAATTCTTGCAAATCAAAGATAATGACAATTATTAGTTTTTGAGTTTTTAGTTAAAATGGTCACTGCAATTGTTCACCGTCAATCATTTTAGTTTTTTTTCTGTGAATTTTTTTTATTAAATTGAAGAAACTGTCAGTTCATGAGAAGGGGTTGATTAAAAAAATAAAATAAAAACCTCCATTTCATGAAGATTTTTTATGAAAAGACCAAAATGATTGACGGTGGACAATATCAGATACCACTTATATCGATTTTAAATCTCAATGACTAAAGAAATGAATTATGTCAATCTCAAGGATCATTTTAGATTTAAAAAATTAAAAAAAATTAAAAAAAAAAAACCCTTAGTTTTTAAACATTCCATTGAAATTAGCATGTTTGGAGCAAATTTTGAATTTTTTTTACAATGTGAAGGTCTGTTGCTCATGTCCTATTTTTTTAAAGAAATATTGAGGTTTTATATTGCAATAATATTACTACACTAAATTAGAGAGGAGGGCTTAAACAAATGATACGTTAATGGGTTGAATAAGAAAATCATATCCATCAAGGAAAACCACTACTTTCAACAATTAGTAAACTGGTAAATAATCACCCAGCAGTTCTGCTTTTCATTTTTTTTTTCTTTTCACTATAAAGAGGTTATATGTGTATACTGCAACTTTTTAAGTACTAATAACAGTTCTCATATAGTTGAAAAATACAAAAACTAAAGTTAAACTTCATTGCCTAAACTACAATGGTGTAAAAGATAAATAGCGTGTGACTATCATTTCTCATCAAAAATAATAATTAGGCGATTTTATTGTGTGAATATGTCACTCAACCAATTATTAGGTTGATTAAGAAATCAGAGAGGACATTTAAGGAGAGGAAGATTATGTACTATTGTTTACAGGTATCACTCAACCAATTATTGTCCACCAACCCTGTAAGCACCAAATGATACATTAATGCTTTAAGCCTCAACATAATCAAAGTCACATATTGATTAAATGGAAGGAAAAAAAAAAACCAATCATGAAAGAATCCATTGATACAGACCTTTTATCTAAAGAAAATTTCCTTTTTTTTATTTTTTATTTTATTAAAATAGAGATTAGTTATGAGGTTCACACCACATCAAACTTCAACGATCTGAACCGTTCATTTTTCAATTTGCACTTTATAGATCATCCTTCAAAATATTAGCCAAATTGAAAATGTTTGAGACACCTAATTGAGTTCAAAGAAATTGACGGACACTATGTTCTATAAAACATTGAAATTTTATCAAGACAATCAAAAGAGTAAATGGTTTCGGACTACATTGATTTTCTTGTGAGGACGATCCAAGAATGAAGACTTAAAAAATAAACGTTCTAGATCGTTAAAGTTCGATGTATAATAGGTCTCACAACTAATCTCTATTTTTCTTAAAATATGAGAATCCCTTGGCAATAAAAGGCTCTGTCTATTGATATATTTTGCATTTAAGATCAAGGGACAAATCTTCTACTTCAATCCTCATCATTATTTGAATAAATGGAAAAATCGTTTTAATTGCAAACGGGTCCAAACTTTGCTTAAACAATCAAAGAGTACATTTAAGGTAAGGATGCTTCATATTTGACTATCAACACATGTAGTAATTTTCACTATGTTTTTTCCATGTTGAAAAAAAGTACCTACTACCAACTATTTTATCAACCAGCCACTAGTCAAGCTGATGTAGAGTAAATGACACAACGAATTGAAGAGGAAATGGATTGTCGGAAGAAACAAGGATGCAGCGAGAATTTGTAGATTTAGTGTCCGAGCTCCGACTTGGGCTCGTGACATCTTTTCAGAAGGGGAACGACGTCACAAACCCAATCACTTCTTTGCTGTGAAATACATAGATTTTGATCATCCAGGATTGTTTTAGTCTCCAAAGCAGTATTTGAAGTTTCATAATAAAAATTAAACTTTTCATTTGTCGTTCAATTAATGTTTAATTAAGTTAGTTTTTTTTTTTTCTAGACCTTGTCCTTCAAGAATTTACGCTTGTAATCCTTTTAAGCTTCATGCTAGTCACAATTGGTTTTCTTGTTTTAGTAATAGATAAGAAAAACTATTCAATTTAGCAAGCTCTGAACTATTTTTATAAAATATTAGCTTCAGTGTAAAAAAAATCAAGCACACTGCATTAATCGAAAAACGTAATTCACGTATACAAGTGCCACAGACACATTTATTATAAAGAAAAAGCAAAAGAAAACGCATTCATTTTTTTTCTTTTTTGGATGAGGAGAAAAAAGTGAAGGGAAAATGGTCCCATGAACGACCAAAATGACTTCCCATCAAAAAGAACAATACTTGCTTATGTAGTAATTAATATTCAAAATTGTTCGTTACCAATTTATAGAACTTTGTGTTTATAATTCGAACTGTTCATATTATAAATCATCCTATAAAGATCATCTCTGCAAAAAATCAATTAAAATTAAGGTTGTTTAGTCATCGAACTGTATAAAAACAAATGAATAGAATTAGTAAAAACATTACAAACCGTTTATGTATTTGCTAGAATACATTGACTAAACGATATTAGTTTTAATTCATTTTTTGCATAAATGATCTTTACAGTGTGATTGATAATATGAACGGTTTTGATTATATGCACAAAGCTCTGTGATTCAAGTACTAAAAGTTTTGAGTAGGAATTCCTACTCATCTTTGAGTAGCTAAGTAATGTTTCACCAAAAATAAAGAGAAATACAAGAAAAACAATAAGACCAATTTCCACGTGGATAAACATGTATGTACACGTGTACGGTCATTTCGATGATAGCAAGGGCCCACAAAAACCCAAAACCCACGGCCGTGGCTTTTCAAAGTTGGTAACATCTCTCTCTCTCTCTCTCTCTCTCTCTCTCTCCTCTTTAGCTTCAGTTTACAGCAGAAGCAGAGAGGAGAGAGGGTGAAGTCATCTCTCTTTCTTTCTCTATTACAAGTATGCAAACCCAGAACCATGTCCTAGTTTCCACTTTTACCCCTCCCAACTACCTTTATTCACGCCCACTAATCACCTCTCTCACCAGTACTGCTTCACTAGCTCTGAATTCCCACGTCCATGGCGGACTCAGCCGACGTCTTGGCGGTGCTCGAGTTCCTGAGGAAAAACGGGTTTTCGGAGGCCGAATCGGCTCTCAAAGAGGATATGATTGAAAAGGGCGATCTGGGTTCTTTCGATTACGAGAAATTCATGTTTCCGATGGCTCCTCCGCTGCCGCCGGTCAGAATTCCAGCGAGCTTCCGGCGGTCGGAGGTTCAGGGCGGCGGAGAATGCTCGGGGTCGAGCTCGGCGGTGGACGACGAGTTTGTGAGCGCGGGATCTTCTACTTCTAACAAGTGCTCTTCAGGTAGTTAAGAACTTAAAGTTATTGGCTTTGATCAGAATTAAGCTTGCGGTTAATTTCTAATTAAGTATATTACGATTATTTTTAAAAAGTTTGTTTAAATTCGAAGATCATGATTTGTGTAACATGTTATCAGCAATAAAAATTAAAACTTGGGCATTACTGTATAGAACTATTCATCTGTCATTCCCTCTGTTATATCATTTCTTCGGGTATATCATTCGAGCGATGTTCTAATCTAATCTAAACTTGTAGCTTATAGGAGCGGGATTTGAACTTAGGTCTGCTTTTTTAATATACTATTAGAATTAATCCTGGGAAAATGTACTTAAATTGTAATTTAGTTACTAATCTTTAACTGATAATGCACATTAATAGTGAATTTGGAGAAGTCTCACTCTTTTCTCTTGTTCGTAGAATTCACAAACCCGTATGGAGTTCGATCTACATCTCCAAGCGGTTCCCAAGCTTCATCCGATGGGTTCTCTCAGTTTGGCACGGCACGCGATTACCACGATTTCGATATGCAAAATGACCTGTTCTGGCATGATGAGAAAGATGATGGAGACTTCATGACTCCTTGCTTTGAAGGGCCGGACTTCTTCGCCTGTCCCACTGAGGATAAGTTCATCATGACTTCAGATACAGACAAGGGGAGCGAGAAAGTGCTGGATCTGAATTATAAATCCGAAGCATTTCAATCGGAAATAAGCCTCGATTGCCTGGACAAAAATTGTCTTACCAATGTTTCTCCCGTGGATGATACAAGCAAGGTTTATGCGACGAATTATAAGAAAAATCAGCTGGAAGAAGGCTTTGAGGAATATTGTGCAGAATGCTGCTATCCAAGTTTGAAAGAAACCGATTTCAAAAATTACCAATTAGATGTTTCGGGGGGCATCCTTTGTATGGATGTTGATTCTGCTCCATATGACAAGATAAGCAAGAGTTCTAATTGCTCTGCTAAAAGGAGTTCCAAAAATGAACAGGATGAAAAGTTTACAGTGTCCGCTGGTTTAGACGGTAAGGTTGCAGTGAATGATTTCATGCAAAAGGGAGTTGAAGGATATGGAGTTGGAGTCGGTGAAGTAAACAAAGGATCCCACGAGCCTGAGGTTGCTGCCGATGGAGATGATGCTGCTCCCGATGAGGTTTTGATGTACAATGATGATGAGGATTATGAAGTTTTCGACTTGAGAATTGTACACAGGAAGAACAGGTTTGTTTGGCACAGTCCGCTTTCTATGGTTTTGACAGAAGCATTCACCTTGGGAGGATTTTTTCGTATCTATGTTTTGATAAAGGATTGCGCTCATGTGCATGTTTATTGATAAGTAGCTATCAGTTTTACTCGTCTGTTATGCCATTTACAGGACCGGATTTGAAGAAAGCAAGGATTTCCCAATTGTGCTAAAGACTGTAATTGCAAGCAGGTACTATATAACGGAATACCTTGGTTCGGCAGCCTTCAGTAAGGTTGTGCAGGCTCATGATCTTCACACAGGAGTCGATGTGTGCCTCAAAATCATAAAGAATGATAAAGAGTTTTTCGACCAGAGTCTGGATGAGATTAAACTTCTAAAGTTTGTCAACAAAAATGACCCTGCAGATGAACACCATGTATTGCGACTTTATGACTACTTCTACCATCAGGTATTTCCTTCTGATCCAATATAAGAATACTTCAAAAATTGTTTAATGTTTGCTTTATTTAAGTGGGATGTGGTAATTGTCTTTCACCAAGGCTAAGTTTTTTAACCCTATGATGACTATCTATCTCTTTTTCGGGATTGTTGATTGAAATTCTTACGATAGCATGCATTGTGCAAATTATTTAGTATGCTCAATTTTATTTTTGCAAAACAGGAGCATCTCTTTATCGTTTGTGAACTCCTTCGGGCAAACTTGTATGAATTTCAGAAGTTCACTCAAGAATCTGGTGGAGAAGCTTACTTCACATTAAGAAGGTTGCAGGTTCGTTTGTATTAACTCGTAAATGCTTGCCATACTAGATTCCATAAACCTATTAACGTGGCTTTTCTGCTGCTTTAAAAATTAATGACGAGTAAGACAGCTAACACGGAACTTAATGGTGCCCTATTAACAGCTCATAACACGTCAGTGTTTAGAGGCATTGGACTACTTGCATCACTTGGGAATTATTCACTGCGATCTAAAGCCTGAAAACATTCTTATAAAAAGTTACAGAAGATGTGAAATAAAGGTAATTGATCTTGGAAGCAGTTGCTTTCGCACGGACAACCTGTCTCTATATGTGCAATCTCGTTCTTATAGAGCTCCTGAAGTCATTCTTGGCCTCCCTTATGACGAGAAGATTGACATGTGGTCTCTGGGCTGTATATTGGCGGAGTTATGCTCCGGAGAAGTATGGCCTCTCTTTTGCTTGGTTTTATTCATTATATTCGGCTCTGTTTCATTACTTCTGTTGAAATTTGTTTGCATTGTTACTGATTGGCTATTTTTTGGGTACCCTGCAAACTTCTTACACTGTTTATGCCTCTCGTATGATATTTTCTTTAGTTTCCCGTCAACTTGAAGGAGAAATTCCTTGGGTATAACGTTCATACATAAATACATTCGTGCTCATACTACTGTGTCTTGACCAGGTGCTCTTTCCAAATGATGGGGTTGTAATGATCCTTGCGCGTATGATTGGAATGCTTGGTCCTATCGATCTGGATATGTTAGTGAAAGGTCAGGAGACCGATAAGTACTTCACACACGAGTTAGATCTTTACCACATAAATGAGGTGCGTACTCCAAATCTCTATCCCTAAATATGAGTTGCGGTAGGCTTTTTCTGGATAATATGCAAGGAAAATGTATCTTCCGACACATGAAATGTAGTATTTAAGTGTTTCCGGTTTCTCTAATGGGAAATCATCAATTCTTTTACTTTTTATGAGTCGATGAATAATTCATTCGGACAAAACGCTTTGCCATCCCACATTCAGGAAACAAACCAACTGGAATACATAATCCCGGAGGAGTCCTCCTTGGAGAATCACCTGCAAGTAACCGACATTGGGTTCATCGACTTTGTCAAAAGCCTGCTTGAAGTCAATCCCGAGAGACGCCCAACCGCAAGGGAAGCACTGGAGCACCCATGGCTTTCCTACACATACGATACAAGTCCCTTCTAAACTCATGGGGTACGTAGCAGTTCTCCTTGTGGGTTCATTTGTAAATTGAGTTTTGAAGAGCAATTTGTGAATTACGACCTGCATCCGGTGAACCTAGGACTGCGACGCGCTTCCGATTTCAGTTTTGGTTTCGTGTACGTGGGCCTTGTTTTGCATTGTCTATCGTATATTCTCTGGTTCTGATTTAACATATTCATACTTTTCTTATACAAATTGATGTAATAAAATGTCCTGCATAAACACGGTGGTGTTTTCTGATTCATTTATTCTTATGAAATTCAATTTTTTGGATGCTGAAAATCTGTCTGTTAATGACGCTTGTAACTTCTATTCTCAAAATATCTGTTAGAGCTGAGAGTCGTTTAATCATGGTGACGGATTATTACTTAATACATGTTAGACAAGCACACGAGAAATTCTTCGGTGTGATTATGCATTATAATATTTGGCATTTTGACTAAAATAGTCTTTGCGATTAACATAACTATTCACTTTAGTGATTTGAAATTAATGAAGTGGTCTTTGGATTTGTCAACCGTCAATTAATTTGGTCATGTGGAATTTTTTGGTAAATACTGACCAAAATAACAAAAATATTGTCAATTTAACAAACTAACAAAAATTAAGGGTATCTTTGTCATCTTAGTCTTTATTTAACAAAATTTTTTGACAGAATGATCAAAATGATGGACTGTGGACTAACGCAATGACCACTTCTATCGATTTTAAATACGAGGGACCAAAGTGAAGATTTATACCAATCTCGAATACAATTTAACAAAAAACAAACCTAGTATTTATATCTATCTCATTACATGTCTATTGTATTGGAAATGGATTCTCTCCGAATCTCTTACACCTAATCATCCTCATCAAATAATTAGAGTTTTTCAAATTTGATTGAATGACTACAATTATTATAACTTTTAAAATGAGCCCGTATTTGTAACCGTTGAATCAAAATTTAAGAACACAGATTATTTGATAAGGAGGATTAGATGGAAGGAAGAAAATCCCTTTCTTATTGTATTTACATTACAATCACTTTCGACCAACAAATATTGTTCTTGTCAATTCCCCCCTTCTATGATAAGATAAAAGAAGTAAAATATTTGGAAGCTGTCAAGTGACGTGTCATGTTTTAAGAGAGAAAGGTGGTCAAAGTTGATTGGTGAAATTAAACAAAAGAAAAATACTTTGACCTAAAAAAGTAAATAACAATAATTTAATGAGTGAATTATTATGGATTCAGCGAACGTTGGTCTTAAAGAAGAAAATATTGTCTTTTATGATTGGCGGGATTAGGATTCACTTGCCTACCTTTCTCCGACGCCCACGCTCTCCTTTCACGCGTGCAAGACCTTACACAGCATGAAGTTCATAATGCAACCACCATTTCAACTAATCAGGTTTGGGTTAGTCATATTTAACGATTAATAAAAGATTCGTATTCGGTCAACTTCTAACTCAAAAATGACACGCTTTAACGCATTTACGTAATTATGGAACTTGTCAATTTATATACAATGTATATACCACATAATACGAGAAAATTCATTTAAAATGAAAGTGAAAATGAAATATTAAACACTCTTACTAGATGTAAACATTATATTTTTGTTAAGCTTTTTTGTACTTGTGAACATTAAACAAGCTTTTCTTTTCTTACAAACTTTTGTTTATAGATGTAATTTGGTATGGTTATACTTTGATTATCAAGAAAAAAAGTGTGAGAAGCTAAAAATTGTGTATGAAAATTAGCTTCTATTTAATAATCGTGTCATATTCAAGTTAGAGAAAATAATTCATTTAATAATCGTGTCTCTTTTTTGTATAGCAATATACGTTTACACTAAGAGGTGTGAAAAGTAAATTTATATTGAAAGCGCCACTAACGAGATTTGAACTTGAAACCTCTCACTAAAAAAAAAAAAAAAAAAAAAAAAAACTAAACTATAATACCAAATAGCATAATCTCGTTGTGTTGAAGGTCAGCGACAACCCTTCTTTCCGCTCTGCTTTGTTCTTTCATGTCTTGCACTAGCTTTCTCCCCACCTATACGCTCCCTCCTACCTCTTCCTGCCACACCCCCCAAAAAAAATAATCGATTTTTCTTATTGTTGCTTCTCAAGATCAATGTTACGGGATTGATTGTCGCTAACTGGCCATTGTACTTTGCAATTTCCGATGTCCCGTATACGTTCGAGTCAGTTAATTCGGTTTTGTAAGATTCTATATCGTGTACGTAGGTTTCTTAAGCTTGCTGCAGTGAGTCGAGATTCGGAGGGCTCTTTCTCTCTTTTTCCCTCCCACTTGTCGCTCCTCAATGTGACGACCCGTCCCTAATCTTCTCGGAAATTTGTATCCGATTGTGTAATTTGACAATTTTACCCTTTTGGGGAAAAATGTAATCTAATGTGGATATGGTTTTCGACTTTTATTTCTTTTTCCTGGTTTCGTACCTAAAGAGTACTCGTCGTTACGAACGCGTGAGAGTGAGTTAAATTTGAAACGGATCAGTAATGAAAAAGTTACGCTCCGTTAAAGTATGTAACCATGAGTATTTTGTACACACAAGTGCAAATTATCAGTGTCGGAAACACTGTAAGGAAGCAAATATGAAATTCAAAGCTGTCCCACAAAAACGGGATCCGTGTTCCCCATCCCACAACCAATCAAAAATTATCTTCCTTATTTTCCTTTCTCTTGATTTTCCTCACAGCCAATTAGGAACCATCCCTCAAACTGGCACCCAATCAGTGACCTTTATTCACACTCTTATTCCCCAATCAGAAAACACATTTACTCTATCTCTTATCCTTCTCTTTCTCAAACCCGAACTCCCTCTCTTCTCTGCAACAAAGAAGATCGACGTCCAAACCTTCAAGATCGAACCCACAAACTACATATTTGGACTCCCTTCGACCCCACGAACACAACCATACCACAAATTCAAAAATGGTTGAGTTTTGACTCACCAACTCAGGAGGTCTGACTCGGTAAGCTTTGGTATGATGAGTTTCAGGCCAAGTCACAACGTTTTAGGACTCGGGGAAGCTTCTACACAACTCCCTAAGGCTCCTAGACTAGGTTTGGAGAAGCGTTGACGTCGAAACACAAGGTTTCGAGAAGTCGAGTTTTTGACCGAACCTTTCGAGGCTTTTTCAGATCATTTCCTGTCCACTTTTGGACTTTTGGAAGGTACAATCTCGTTTTACTCTTCATAAGCTTCATTTTCATATAAATTTTGTGAAAAATGGTTGAGAAATGAGTAAGGTATGAAGCTTTGAATTTGCTCCAGTTTTCGGCGAAACCAGACGGTGGCCGGCGGCGACCCATCGAAGAAGACGACGAATATTACGTCAAACTTGATGGAATATTCTAATGGCGTCAGGTAATGCCGTTCCCTTTCGTTAATTGTTTAACGGAATATTTCGTCAGAAATGATGGAATATTCATGGCTACCATTTGTCTCTAGCTTGTGCATGGAGGTGCTTATGGTCATGGGCTAGGGGGTGCGTGACAGCATGTCTGGCCTCCAATTGACTTTCTGTCAATTTGTGTGGGTCTGTGACGTCAAGTAGATCGATTTTGTATATTCAAACCTTCCGTTTCAGCAAACTACGGGGGTTTTATCTAAGTTTTAGTATATGTGTTATTAAACTAAATTATTAGTTGTTTTGCGTATAGGGGAGAGTTACCCCGAGGATGTACGAGGACAAGCAAGCCTAAGGGCCTACGATCCATTGACATATCAGTGATTGGACATTTTTGTTTTCATATGTGTGTGTGTGTGTGTGTATATATATATATATAAACTTTATAGTTTCCACAAATGCTTTTAAATTGATTTATAAATTTTATGCCATGTTTTTATTAATTTTAAAAATGATGTTATGTGGTTGAGATTTATATGTTGTCATGACATATTCATATGCATTTTACCTGCTTATAAATGTTGTAGTGTTGTGAAATGCTAAAATAATTATGGGATGCGCAGGTAGGTCCAGGTAAGGTTATTATGTTGATTGAAATTGTTGAATCATTATGGCATACTTACATTCATATAGTTTGCTCATCATTCATACACCCATGTGTTAGTGCTCAGCTCAGGGCCAGACTAGTCTTTCACGTGTTGTCCACATTAGCATCGCACACTCGCCTTGGATCCAAGAAGGTGCTAGTCCTGTCGTACATATTACAATAGGCAATTCCAACTCGTATGTGACAGTGAATAGCGCTAGTCTTCACGTGACTATAGCACTAGAGCGTATATTATTATTACACCTAGTCCTGTCATACAGGTCACATTAGACGACTTCGACTCGTGTGCTAGCATAGATTGATAAGCCATAGGTGTAGTTGTACAAGTCACATTAGGTGATTTCGACTTGTGTGCTAGTATAGATTATTGAGCACGTGATTATATTTATATTGTTGATGAGATATTGAGTTGTGGTGTACTTCTAGATTTACTGTTAGCATGCATTTGATTTCATACTTGTAACATCCCACATCGCCCAGGGGAGTGATCCTTAAATATATATTCCCATCCCTACCTAGCACGAGGCCTTTTGGGAGCTCACTGGCTTTGGGTTCCGTAGGAACTCCAAAATTAAGCGAGTAGAGGGCGAGAGCATTCCCAGGATGGGTGACCCATCGGGAAGTTCTCGTGTGAGTTCCCAGAAACAAAACCGTGAGGGCGTGGTCGGGGCCCAAAGCGGACAATATCGTGCTACGGTGGTGGAGCGGGCCCGGGAAGTGGTCCGCCCCGGGCCGGGATGTGACAATACTTATATATATATAGTATGATTTTCTGGAAACTATACATGTTTTACAACGAGGAGTTAGTATGGTCCGAAAATAAATGGATTTTGTAAACCTTTGTTTTTGTGCCCACTCACCCTTCTGTTTTTCGTCCCTCCAGGTCCTAAATAGCTGAATCACTCTGTGGCGTGCGAGGATTTGACAACAATTCTGACATAGTTCCATTTTTAGCGTAGGAACTTATCCCACTTGTGTAATAAGTACTTCTCTAGTTCAACTGCTTTACATTTATGTTATTTATGCTTTGAACATTTGTAGTTTATGGGTTCTACCTACTACTGCGCACTCACTTTAGTAGTTTAAATAAGTTCTAGATTTGGTTTTAATTTATCCACATTTTTGCATCATTTACATTTTGGTTACGTCACCTGCGGGTGACAACCATCATGCCTTGACTCCGGCCAAGGTGTGTCATCATGGAGGAATTACTTTCCTTGATCGATTTTGTTCGGGCTTTGTCTTTGGTTCTATGGCGGATCTATTTTGCTTGGCTTGTGATAGATGCTGATCTAAATTGAGGCGGTTTTGGATGTGGCATGGCCTTGCTCAAGGTACTGCGTCTATGTCGGAGGTTGGGATCTTGGTTTATGGCGATTCGGCTGCCAGTTGCGTTGGGTTGCTGTTTGGGGTTGCATATGGGTCACTCTCTTGCTTTGTCCAGGAGAGATTTTATGTTTGTTTTGTCGTTTGGTTTTGGTTTATTGTGTTTCTTTTGAGTCTTGACGGTTCAGAAAGCTTAGTATTTAAGCTTATCTATCTTGTTAGTTTGGTGTTGATCCTCTGTCGATGTTGGACTTATAAGCTTGAAATTTGATTCCTAACGGTTAATGTTTCTCGGTCTGTTTATTTATGAAATTCTCACTTTCAATAAAATTTTTTTTAACTCTAGTCGTGTTCGTGTCGACACGGGGTTGACACTAACCCGACCCTTTACACCAATTGCCACGCCGGGCATTGACCACCATCAAAACTCTCTCACCCTCGCCTTTGAAGCGCGTCGGCCCCTCCATCCCTTCCCTCCTCCAGCTTTGTCCAAAGCTGCATCGCCGAGGAAACAGAGGAAGAGAGAGAGAGAGAGAGAGAGAGAGAGATCGGCCTCTCCATCCCTTCCCTCCTTCAGCTTCGTCCAAAACAGCATCGCTTAGGAAACAGAGAGAGAGAAAGAGAGAGAGAGAGAGAGAGTTTTATTGCAAAAGGGCTAATCAATCAGCTTCTTCTCTTCCGAGTCTGACAACCAAGATAATGGCCGAGTTGACCCAGGGCGAGGTGGTCTACTCGCCCAAGACTCTTCAAGTCTGGCGAGCTCTGCTCAACTGGCTCGCCTTCTTCTCCCAGATCTTCTTCCAAATCCTCCGAGCTCTCGGTCACCACCCCCTCCTCTCTTCTTCCTCCTCCTCTTCCGCTTCTTCCGCCGCCTTCAAATCCCTGCCCGTCGAGCCGCCGGAGAACGACTCCCCCGCCGCCTCCGCCGTTGAAATCGCCGACACCCCCGATTCCGATGACCCTTTTGAAAAGCTCACGGTGCGGTTTTAAAATTTACAAACTTTCTATTTTTTGAATCCTGTTTAAATTTTACCATTTCCATGAATTCGAATTGCTTACTGAAATTATTGTTCTTTTATATTAATTCAGGAAAAAAATTTGATTTTTCTATACATAATCCAGCTGAATTGAGTGTTTGATATGAATTTGAAGCTTCTATGGTTCTGGTTTAGTCAATGAGAAGCAGAATTAGTAAAGGCTAGTTTGGGAAGCACTTCTGCTCAAAAGCATTTATGCTAGAAGCGGTTTTATTATAAACATGTCCAAAACTTTATTGAAAGTCCAAGTGCTTCATGGAAAAGCCTTGGAAGTGCATCTTGTGCTTCATGAAGAAGCACTGGGCTTCTATGACCCAAAAGTGCTTTTGAGCTTTCTGCCAAATGAAGTCAAAATTGCTTTTCGTTATCAGAAAGCAATTTTAGCTCTTCCGGAAGCAATCCCAAACGGGACTTAGTAATGGATGAAAACGGAAATTCAATGGAGGGAGGAGAGATCAGAGAGGTGGGTGTGTAGAGTGTTTACTTTTTTTGGATGTGCTGACACTAAAGACCTGCAGGTAGTTCTGGACCTGGATGAAACCCTAGTGTGTGCATATGAAACATCCAGCTTGCCGGCTGTAGTTCGAACTCAAGCAACCGAAGGTGGGTTGAAGTGGTTTGAGCTTGAATGCGTATCTTCCGACAAGGTGCTTTTTTCTTATTTAGGTTGATTATCTTGCATTCCTTTCGAAAGATGAAAGTTTGTTGACATGATTGTGTTGGGGTTTGAAGGAATGTGATGGAAAACCGAAGGTCAATTATGTCACAGTCTTTGAGCGTCCGGGGTTGCATGACTTCCTAAAACAAGTTAGTCAGTTTGCAGAGCTTGTGTTATTCACTGCTGGTCTTGAAGGTTTGTTTATGACTTTCCGATCTTTGTTTCTAATTTCTCTTTGGCCGTTCCCTTTTCCTGTAACTGTTTGGGATGCTTTTTTTTGTATGGTTACAGGTTATGCTAGACCACTTGTTGACAGAATAGATGTGGATAATCTGTTCAGTTATCGACTTTATCGGCCTTCAACCACCAGCACGTAAGTTCTGCACCTTGTATTTTTGATCTAATAGCTGTTGACATGGAAAGCCTCATGTGGAATTCTATCCAATATATCCACATAGGTTTCGTTGAAAAAATAATATGAATGTCTCGATTTGATACCTGTTTCATTCTACTCCTGAAATTGCTTGATCAGCTATTGATTTTGAGACGTGACAGTGGTTTAGCACTTTATAGACACTGGAACCTTACGGTCATTTGTCTCGTGTCACCGTCTCTTATGTATATAGCCACCATATATAGTTGGCTAATGAATTGCAGCACTGTGAGCATAAAATACATATATGAAGAGTGAACAGGTTTTTGTATGGATGTAACATTTTATATCTGATTTTGAAGTTTTACGTATTCAGTAAGATTTTGTGTTGAATGCCAGCGTATCATATGATTCTCAACAGATATCTATACACTTCCACACTCTTTATGTTCTTAAGTTTTATTGTTTCAAGTCTGCATTCCAACGTTTTGATGTTGAGTTTCGGGCGACTCATTGGCTCCGTTGGTATGTTATAAACACTTAGTTTAAATAACCTGAGTACTGTTATTGGAGAATTCAATCCTTAGTTTGGTAAAATCTCTAATGCTGGATGAATACAGGGAATACCGGGAGCATGTGAAGGATCTATCTGGGCTATCAAAGGATATGCGGCGAATTGTTATTGTTGACAACAACCCTTTCAGTTTCTTGTTGCAACCTTTGAATGGAATTCCATGCATTCCATTTTCTGCCGGGCAAACACACGACAAACAGGTAGAGCCGTAGAAATTTCATTATCTTGCTGCAACTTTTGAAATTTCAGCATTTAACTTTCTCGGTAATCTCTTTTTCATTTCCTCGTAACCTTGCTGCACAGCTTTTGGATGTTCTTCTTCCACTCCTCAAGCAGCTCTCTCTGCAGAAAGATGTGAGGCCCGCCCTTTACGAAAGGTTTCACATGCCCGAATGGTTTCAAAAGCAGGGGATTCCTTCAACTGCGTGGAAATAGTAGATTGTAAGGGAATTCCCCATTCTTCTTCCACGCAATCCTCGGTAGTTATTTTGTTCAAGCCTCAAGGCAGTGTCTCATCAACAGACTCCAAGTTTCTGTACAGCATCTGTGTGCTCACTGCAATTTGTTGATACAAAGCTGTGTTTTCGCCAGAGGTCAAGGTGCTGCGTCTCACTATCACACGAAAACCATTGATGTACGTAGATTTGTTAAGAAATCTCTGATTCTTGTGTAACTATGTCTATATGCTTGCACTTCTATTCAACGTCTGTAATATTTTTTATTTTTTGTGAAATTGTTGCCAACAATTCTGTATGTTCCCCGTAGTGTAATGAGATTTATTTGTCGTTGACATATCGCACGTTGTATCAAGAAATAATACAAATGTCAAAGGGTTCCGAAGTGTGTAGTTCAATTCTCTCGGGGCCGGCTTTGAGGTTCTGAGGACCCTGTCTGAATCCCGTCGCTAATGTGCATTTTTGTGTTCACATTGAGTGATACATAGGAAGAAAATCAAAGGTGGTCCTATTTGCTAGCCTAGTGTAATTGATGGTAACCCTCCTTTACGACCAGGCAACTCTAACCCTAGCATGGAGGCTAAACAGTCTCACCTAGTTCCACCAGAAAGAACATGAATGGACCTAACTGCAGCCCAACTGCTAATCAGCCTAATCTCTTTAATCACGTAGGCTAAGGAAAAGGGTCCGGGCCTAACTAATCTCGCAGTTGATCGAGCGTTTATTGTTAGCACAACTCGGATAGTACAATCGAGAAGGGGTTTTACCTTACAGCGAGGGATATGTCTCACTTTTCTATCTCTATCATCATGTAATCGAATTATGTAAAAGCGATACAGAAAAATGAGAATATATTTTAGTTACACTCGAGAACTGTCTGAAATCGGTGGTAAAGTTAATTCGCCCAAAAGGCCTTCACCATATCTTCAGCTTGCCCTACTTTGATCTGAGATTATCTGGCACAAAAAGGACACCCAATTCATGGCCATATCTGACAGTTTTGCATAAGCTTCTTTTTAGTTGTTTCGTTGTTAGTGCTAATTGAGGATTAGCCAGCAAATCCGACATCACGTTAGGTACTCCTGTTTATTCAGCAACCAAAAGCAAGGACATGAAGGTCTGTGTCGTTCACTTTTTCTTACTCCATGGCAGCCTTTCGATCTCTTTGATTATTTGTATTTTTCTGTTAGTATTTTATCTTCCTTTTTGCCTTGAATTGGCGTTGCCCCTAATTTAAAAAAAAAAAAAAAAAAAAAAAAAACTAATGAACTTACAAACTTTTGGCACTTGCTGACAATCTGTAACCGTAATGGAGGTGACTCTACTATTGTATGGAATGTTTAAAATATTTGTATCCGTAAAAATATCGATATGTAAATTTGTGGAAATATCGATATCGATATCAGTTGCGTTCGATGAAAATTATGGAAATTTGCTCAAAAACAAGGGAAATTTAAAATTAAACTTTAGGGAATGTTAAACACTAGTTAAAACAAAATATAAAAAATTTCTGATATTTAATCAATATGTTGAAACAATTAATAAAATTAGATATACAAAATCAAATAAATATTTAATTTTTTTATAGTGTATATAATTTTTTAATGCAAGATAAAATTGGGGTTACAAAATATTTATTGTGATAATAAAACGCTCTCAGTTCAATTCGGTCGAATGTGGGTCTCCAAAACCCGATGTCGTAGATATCGACAAAATCTGTGATTTTAGCTCAAATTAAAGAGTTTCCTCGATATGAGGTGAAGTTTAGACTTCACTCCCTTCATTTCTCTAATTTTCCTAATATTTCCATGAAGATACTGATCGTATCGAATAAATTTCAAACACTAATTGCATATGAGTTTTATTTATATTAAAAGACGTGTAAATGTGCTAGTTTTGTGTCTAGATAACATCAACCTAATGACAAATTCAAATGCAACTCCTTACCACTAACATTACGATTTAGTAATATCTCTTTCAACTCTTAATTGGCAGATTTCATGTTCAACTTATTGAAATGACGATTTTAATACTTAATTATTGAAACACGCATTGTATGACTTAAACCAAATCTCAGTTTTTTATTTACTAATGCCAGGCTTTGAAAAAGGTTGTCGTCATTGTCGTGGATAAAGTAAAATACATGTTTAGTCCACAAATTTCAGTGCCATGGCATGTTAAACTTGCCAAACGCAGAGACAAGCTGAATCTTGATAACATGGCTGTGCTACCCCGAGCTTTTGTTCTGAGTTCCATCACCAACTTTTCTCCAAACTTTCTCATCATCCTCGTCATCACCTCGTCAAACAACTAATACATAAGAATGTACTTCACCCGAAAAGGCCAAATTTTTATCATTATGCTTATATGATTAATTATATATATAATGGGTTTTTTCTTTGTACAAGACTTCCAGACGCATCGGTTCGCAACCTTTTCTCACATTTCACTTCATTTTCATCCGCTTGGTTGATTATTCAAAGTATTAAAATCACCATCTAAACTGAAAATAAACAAAAAGTGAGGTTTTCTCAGCGTGTTTATAGCATGGAAGAAGAAAGTCATGTTCGCAAAGAGAATTTCAATAAATTAAGATTATGTTGAGGGGCATTGGGATCAAGGTGGTTCCTGGATCACTAGGAGTTCAGGAAATATACAAGTCTTTCAAGGACCATTTTAAATGTTTAGTACAGATTTTTTTATGCTTATTCAGTGTTTGATAAATTATCTGTTAGGAAAATTTCGACAAACTACGACGATAAGCCCAATACGTATTCGACGAAATATTTTAATAAATAAATTGGTCTTTTTTTTATCACGCCTCGCGCTCTATTTCTACTTCAAAAAAACTTGTATTTAACTCTGAAACCTTCTAAGGCTCGAAGTCTGAATCCACCACTGTTGCAAGACTTGGCCGGTCAAGGTTTCAATGTAATGTCAGAATGCAACAAATTGGGACTCTTTTGAAAAGTATATGAGAATAATTGTAATTTTTAAAAAGAAAAAACATGATTAGCTTGGCAGAGAATAAATAATAATAACAAAAATAATCATCGGGACCAGGGTTTATTTGTTTTTCAATTCTTTTCCTTCCCAATTCACTCTGAATGACAACTATCTAGTTTCTTGAAGAAATAAGCAGCCTGACACTAGGTTTCCTCCACGGTTGACACTTTTTTTTTTTTTCATTTTTTTTTTCTGTCTGCTGTTTCTAACGAAGCTATTGAGTTGTTTCCAATGGAACAGGATCCCTCCTGAGTATAAGGTGGGGATCCTCCTGACCTGATTATTTGGGTTTTTAAAATTTGATCCAACGGTTATAATAATTATAACTTTTAATGGATCTCCCTGTTTGTAGTCGTTTGATCAAAATTTAAGAACCCAAATAACCCGGTCAGGAGGATCCCCACCCTATGCTCAGGAGGGGATCCGGTTCCGTTTCCAATTTCAGTGTTTTGATTAAACAAGTCTCTTTTGAGCTGTTCATTAGGAGATTCCTAAAGTTTATATAATAATAAAGAAATATAGGGTCAAAACTCAAAAGAACCTTTTTACAACCTTATTTCATTAGTTTAGTTGATAGGCAATTGAATTCAGTGAGTTTGAGAAAGTGAGCAACATTAGAATGACAGAGAAGGACCGTCGGAGGAGGAGGAGGAAGAGGCAACTTGAGAGGCCATAGTAGAGAGGGAAAGGGCACGGCAAGAATATGGGGGGTGTCTCGGCAAGATTTTGGGCAAGGGGAAGATCTTTGAGTGCTAGGGTTGATCAGGAAATGGAAAGCCTAAACGAGTGATACCATGTAGAATTGTAAATGCATTGATTTCTATTGATAATACAAGGTACAAATATATATATTAGTCGATGACTTGTCGTATATATACTAGTTAATGACTTGTTGTACAAGTAAACCTAATCGCACAAGAATTTACAAGACCTAACCCAACGAAAATCCTAACCGTGCGTTCTCTTATACTTACAAAACCTACAACACAGAACCTGCTTATCATGCAGATTATGCGCGCACATATACTACCAACAAGTGCCGATATGTTTGTGCATAACTGCACGTCTCATGTCCGACTCACACTCATAAAAAACGATATTATTTATAGAAACTGTGATACAAAATTTGCATTATGCACACAAACTGCCACAACCAACGTAATGACAAGTCAGTCTCCTAAATTTTTTTGATTATGTGAGGGAAAGACTCCGTCAATTTCACACGTCAAAGCGTGGAAATGTGATTGGACAAGAAACTTGAACCTTCTTCTTCTTCTTCTTCTTCTTCATCTACGATGGTTTTTGAGATCTCAAAGATTCAAAAGAACAATGCAATTAATTAATGAGTTATCCTTAGTTTATATCATTTTCTTTGGTAATTAATTAGTTTATATCTTTTTCTTTGATAATTAATTAGTTTATATCTTTTTCTTTGATAACTAATTAGTTTATATCTTATCTACGCCATTAAATTACACCATGAACCCAATCACATTATTCAAACATTTCTGACTACATTGTAATTGGCTTGTAATTCAGTTGGCTAATATTATTTGCCCCTACACTCAAGGTCTTTTGTTCGAATCCTCTATCCATAATTTAATATAGATTATTTGTTACCCATAGTTTAATGTAGATTATTTATAGTTTGTAAAAAAAAAACATTTCTGACCATTAACATATGTTCACATTAGGTACAGCATTGGTTGGATATTTTTCTATATATATGATATGTTCACGTGGATATTTTTATATATATGATATGTTGACGTGTAAAAACAAAGATATATGCTGTATCATAAAATTTTATCTTTTAGTTAGGTTGTTGATTAAAAGGACTATTATAATCACCGATATTTAGTATTATTCTAGAAGAATTCGAGAATACAATCATCAATCATATATTAATTAACATTTTATGTTCAAACTTTTTATTCTTAAGTAATTAATGTGTGCTGTGAATGATTAAAAAAGAAAAAAAAGGAAGTTATATATGATACATTTGCAACCAAAACACCAATCACGATTCCAATACCGTCAATTCAGTTGCCTCTGTTTATATTAAACCTGTCAAATTTGGCTACCACCTAATTTATTTGGGGTCTCTATCATGACAATTGGTCTCTTGCTCGTAGTGTGAGGTCAGTGGAATTTGTGTTTGTCCCGAGAGATGGAAACCGAGCGGCAAACTCTGGCAGCATACGCTCTAAAAAAGAGAGGTTCTTATGTTTAGATTGTGTTGGTCATGAATTTCTTTTCAATATAGCAGAAGAACTAAACATTCGATTAGAATTTAATAAAATTTATATTTTGGATAAATAAATAAATAAAAAATCAAACGTATTTGACTATATTCTAGCCTAAAGAAGTCGCAAATTCTCGTTCATTTTCCTTTCCTTTTGTTTTCTTGGAATTTTTTTTTGTTTTGACGGTTATTTATTTATTTGTCTTTCTTTTTTGTTTGGTAATTTATTCTTCTTTCATTTATTTTTGTTTTATTCCTATTTCCTCCAACCATTTGCTCAATTAAAAAAAAAAAAAACCATTCTTTATTTTTTTGGCAGTTACTAATTAAATTACTAATTATGTTTCTATTTTTTTAATAAACGATATTATCTACACTAAGGGGATCGAGAATTGAGATAAGCCTCACAATGGACTAACAATAATGTGGTTCAAATTCACCTTAATCGAATCTAAGAACTCTTATTTACAAATGAAAAGGAATACCATTAGACCGTATACTAAGTGGTAATTATGTTTCTAATTCGAATTTTGAATTTTTAAATTCCTTGTTAGTTTTTTTTTTTCAGGTAAATAAATTCTTGTTATTGCTTTGAAGATAGGAATTGGGATTATCCTTAATGGAGTTACCAAAGCAGTTTTTTCAACCATAGATTTTGGTGAAGAAGAATCCTCTTAAAGTTCTTCACTTTTTCAGAAAATACCTTTTTTTGGGAATTAACTTGGCGGCTGAAGAATTCAGCAGCCACTCCTGCTTACACCCAGTTATGGGTGGACACGTGTCTAAGTTTTGATTAAAATAATTAGAACTTGGACCTACCCGTAATTAGGTGTAAGCATGAATGGCTGCTGAAAATTCAGCAGCCAAGTCTTGTTCCTTTTTTTGCATGTAACATGCAATCTGCACGTGTTTCACCTCTCAGGCACGTAATTCATATTTATTTGTCCCCTCGTATGCCGACCAAAAATTAAATAAAATGTTCAATCAAAAAAAAAAAAGAAAACAGAAAATCAAAGAACTTTGGTTATGTTAAAATAACTCAGGGTTATACATATACAAAAATTAGTTTAAAATCTAAATACTTATGGTTAACTTAACTGGTGAGAATAGATGAAAAAATATAGTACAACTAAGTTAGGTCAAATGTTTCAAATGTTCGATTACTTTTTATTATAACAAACAAACAAAACCGTTTTAGTTATCAAAATGATTCCCAATATCACAATACGTACCACGTATTCAAAAGCTGCAATTTTATTTTTGGTTTAAGAGACTGTAATCTACTTAGCACGCACGTGAGAATTTATCACTACAACTGAAATACAAATTTACCACCCTTGTATTAATAGAAATACAAATTTTTAATCGTTGAACTGTCATATACTAGTAGAATGGTATGTATATTTGAAAATAACTGCCAAATTTTGCTTATAATCTATTTTCTTTGCTACATTAAACCTTTTCTCCTCCTTTTCACCATATATACACCATTGACAATCTGAGATAAAATATTTTGTTCCAAATACGCTTCATCAAATTCAAAGAAAGTTCGTATCTGCAAATTAAATTAAAACTCGTTACGAAGGAATTCAAGCATTACTCAAGGGTTCAAACGATAACCATATACATTTTCGAGATGTGAAAGGCCTCTTCACAAAATACTTTACCAATTCTAAAAAAAATTTACTTTAAATTCCAAAAATCCGATGGTTTTTGAAATTCAAAAATTATTAAAAATGACTTATTAAAAATAGCCAGTTTTGAAAAAGTAACAACCAAAAAGGGAAAAAAATAAGAAGAAGAAAAGAAACGAATTATATATAAATGCTGTGAAACAACCCCAGAGTCTTTCATCAGTTTCTGAACTCCCCAAAATCTACTTGGATCTCTCTCCCAATCTCTCTCTCACGTCTTCTTCTGTGTCTGTCTGCGTGCATGCAACCCCCGAAAGAGCTCCTCCAATGAAGCAGACCAGAGCACGCCAACCCACCACCCATGCCGTCAATCCCCACTCCTTTCTATGACGAAACGACCCTTCTCCTCCCTTACCACCGCCACCTTCATCATCATCACCGCCACCATCCTCTTCGTCGTTATACCACCACCAGCTCATGCCTTCGGTTCCGGCTCCACCCTTGCCGTTATCTCCGCCTCCGGCACCGTCTGCGGTGTCGTGTCAGACCAACCGCGGCAGCGCATCGTCTGCTACCGCCGCGGACAAATCATCGCAGTCCAGCCCAACATCTCCTTCTCCGCCATCTCCGGCGGACGGACCTCTCTCTGCGGCCTCCGCTCTGGCGGATACAGCCTCCTCTGCTGGGACGACATCGCCTCACAAAACTACACCTTCCAATCCAAACGTCTTTACTTCAACAGAACCGTTACGTTGGAAAATCTCTCAGTCGGCGACGACCATATCTGCGCCAGAACCGTCGTCACAGGCACCATAAAATGCTGGCGGGTCGACGACGTGTCCGAATTGCCATCTGGGTCGGATCAATTCTCCTCGATTTCATCGGGGTCGGGTTTCTCTTGCGGAATTTCCAAAACCACCCTCCGGGTTCAATGCTGGGGCAGAGCAACTTCAATGGCGGAAGAAATACAAACCGGGTTCGGAAACATGACAATGGCGACCATCACAGCCGGCGGCTCGCACGTGTGCGGGATCAACACCACCGGGCTTATAGTCTGCCGGGGAAGCAATGGCGCCGGCCAATGGAACGTCCCTTCCGGCTCGCCTTTCGAGTTCTCTGCTCTGTCCCTCGGAGTAAACCACAGCTGCGCAATCAGAACTTCAAATCAAACTGTCATCTGTTGGGGAGGAGGAGGCCAATTTGCAATTAACCAAACAAATGGGGTGTCTTTTGAAGTAATTGCTTCTGGGTCGGATTTCGTTTGTGGATTAACCACCAGGAATTTTTCGATTGTTTGTTGGGGTCCGGGCTGGCCCAATCTCTCCGGTTTGAAATCAGGGGAGGAGCTCGAATTGCCCGAAATTCTTCCCGGTTCTTGTGTCAATTCCTCCTGCGGTGAATGTGGAATTTACCCTCAGTCCCAAAGGCTCTGTTTTGGTACAGATAACATTTGCAAGCCCTGTTTGCCTCAAATTTCATTGCCACCACCAGCATTTCCATCGCCGCCACCTCCGCAGCCACCTCCACCGCCACCTCCACCGCCACTGGCGTCAAGGCCGCGGCCCGCGGCATTGACGACGGGTTTATTGGTGTTTGCCATTGTGGGTTGTGTCGGAGCTTTTGCAGGTATTTGTACTGTTATTTATTGTTCGTGGACCGGCGGTTGTTTTGGGGACAACAAGATTCACAATTCAGTTCAGCCGACAATTACTAGAGATGCTAGCTCAAACAATGGTAATGGGATAACGTCAAACAATAGTCCCCCGTCGAGATCCTCCACCATCCGCCGCCAGGGCTCGAGGATCATGAGGCGGCAGAGGAGCGGAACATCCTCGAAGCACGCAGACAGGGCGGAGGAGTTTTCCCTGTCCGAGCTCGCGGCTGCCACCAATGACTTCTCAATGGAGAACAAGATTGGCGCCGGTAGCTTCGGAGTTGTATATAGAGGCAAACTGCCTGACGGCCGGGAAGTTGCGATCAAGAGAGGCGAAACCGCCTCGAAGATGAAGAAGTATCAGGAGAAGGAGAGCGCATTCGATTCGGAACTTGCGTTCTTGTCGAGAGTTCATCACAAGCATCTCGTGAGGCTTGTCGGATATTGCCAAGAGAGGGACGAGAGGCTTTTGGTGTACGAGCACATGAAAAACGGTGCACTTTATGATCACTTGCATGACAAGAACAATGTGGAGAGAAGCAGTAGTTTGTTAAATTCGTGGAAAATGAGGATCAAGGTTGCATTGGATGCCTCTAGAGGCATTGAGTATCTGCACAATTATGCCGTGCCGCCTATCATTCATCGAGATATAAAGTCATCAAACATCTTGCTCGACGCGAATTGGACCGCGAGGGTGTCTGATTTTGGGTTGTCGTTGATGGGGCCGGAGTCAGAGGTGGATTTTAGGCCAACGAATGCGGCAGGGACTGTTGGCTACATTGATCCGGAGTACTACGGACTCAACTTGTTGACCGCAAAGAGTGATGTCTATGGACTCGGCGTGGTGCTATTGGAGCTTCTGACGGGGAAGAGGGCAATATTTAAGGATGTGGAGGATGGGGGGACGCCTATAAGCGTGGTGGATTTTGCAGTGCCGGCGATTACGAAAGGGGAGTTGGTGAGGCTTTTGGACAAGAGGGTTGGGCCGCCGGAAGTGAATGAATCGGAAGCGGTTGAGCTGGTGGCATATACAGCAATGCATTGTGTGAGTTTGGAAGGGAAAGATAGGCCGACGATGGCGGACATTGTGGCGAACTTGGAGAGGGCGTATGCTCTCTGCGATGAAAGCCCTGGCAGCATCTCAAGTGGTGCAATCTCCATTGTCTCAGCAGAGTAGTAAAATGTGCTTCCTTCCCGTTAAAGAAAGAATAGAAAAGAAAAGTTGAATTATTTCTTCAATTTTTGTCAAATTTTTGGGGATAAATTGGATGGATTTAAATAAAAGATTTACCATTGGGGGTGTAAAAAGACTAAAGATTTAGGGGTTTCCATCTAACCTTGCTGTAGTGTAACATTTTGTAAACGCCAAAAGCTAGAAATATACAGCCTTTGCTTGCAATTTTCTAGTGTTGCCTAACTTTTCTCTCTTCCCTACATTTTACTTCTTCTTTGTGTGCCAATGCATTTAACTAGGGTTAGATCGTCAATAGAGTCAATCAAATATTGTTACGCCGTCAGTTATTTGCCACATAAGTTTAGTAGTGTCCGTAATATGAATGATTTGTCGATGGTCGATATATTTGTCGATGGATCAGCCAGCTACTCAGATGGTCTAATCTAAATATTTGTGATGTGATTGAACAAAGAATAATACATTTAGGTGGGTGTCCTTGTTGACACAGTCGCATGACAATGTTGTTTGGTAAATGAGTGGGCAAATGACAGTCAAAGAATGTGACACAAAAGTTTGGCTTCCCAAAAAACCATAGGGATTCCCATGATAAATTATAAAAGTGCTTTTTTTCTGCTTTTTGTGAAGTGATCCAAAGATTACAAAGCCTGCGGTTTGTACTTGAGAGCAGTAGCCGCTACAAGTAGAGCCCGCAGCGTCGCCAAATATTATTAGAAAAATTAGAAAATATTATTACCAGAGCCTATAACTTTGAATCACAGTTTACATGTCCGCCAGTTTGACTCGGAAATTCTAGCAAGGCTGCCAAACTGGGGAGACACTTGCCTAATTGGATGCGCCCAAGTGTCTCTTAGATGTTCGACACGTGTAGGGTTAAGATCCCATTCTCCTTCTCCATGCATACATATGTATGGAAAAACAATTGACAGTATACTCGTGTAATGCATGTTTTTTTTCTATTTTTCATATATAAGACGCTACTATTGCAGCATTGCAAACCACGAATGCATGACTTTGTGTTTAAATTTTTAATAAGCGTTGCTGGTTTGAAATACTACTACAATGATTTTTCTAATGTAAGTCTCTCTACAAACCTAAGCTAAAGGAAAACCCGAAGAAGCAAATTCTACGCTTTAATATGAAAGCATAACATTTATTGATTAATATATGCATGTTGTTGTTATTTTTGTAAGCAATAAATATGTTATCAATGCAGCCAGTCACGTCAAATAACCATGAACATCTTCATGATAATAAATAATATTAGGAGGTGTTTGGACGACAGAATTTTAAGTACCACAGGATTTAGGCTACATGAGACAAAGGGATTTGAAAGTGATTAGATGCAAACATAATTGGATGAAGTCATTGACAATCTTTTGTTTATTGGCTTCGTAATGCTCATGTAATTGCATATTCAATCTGTCATTTAGTACTATGGTTTGGTAGTACTCCTCTTCACTTGAAAGTGAGAGATCTTAGGTTCGAATCTCATGGATGCTAAATTTAATACCAAATTAGGCTGCCCATTGTGTGGCTTAGCCGAACTGGAACTCTTAGTGTAAAAATATTGATGTACTTAATAAGAAAAAAAAAGTGCATCTTCAATCCATTTGTTTAATGTTTTGTATGACATTTTTAACTGATTTAGCCTGAATTACTAGGTACTTGAAAATCTCTCGTCCTACACATCATTCATTTTTGCATTTCCGTTGTCATATTATGCACTCATCCGCTTGTTTATGTTCGTTAGCTTTCTTTTCATTTATTCAATCAAATGATTAGAAGATAACACTCAAAAGCATACCAAATTTGAAAGATTGATTAGCAGTGGATGGGGGAAAAAGTCAAGATTTACTAACTCTCTCGTGTATGGCCATGGGAGTTGGGAGCAGTTGGAGTGGTGGTGCCTAAATACGTCTATGTTAATGAGGGTGACATACACTTTTAAACAAAATTGAGTAATTAGGCCCACTGAGGGAGCACGACGATTTCCAGAAAATTCATTCCCCTTTCCCATCATTTTTTTTTTGTTTTAATTAATACAAAAGGAAAAAAAATAATTAGATAAAATATAAATTATTTTTATATTTTATGATGTTAATTCTCTCCTCTTCCGCGGTCTCCTCCAGTACCTTTTTATTTGAAGATTCATGATTAAATCACGTCAGCATTTTATGTTGACTTCTTTATAGAGAGAAACAAAAAAGAAAATGAGAGATAAGGAGAGGGAAAAAAATTTGAAGAACAGAGAATCGTACTCCTTTGGTTTAAGCAACGCCATTAGTTTTGCATCCATAATAAAGGGTTTTAGAGTGCCAATAAGGACTGGAAGTTTCATTGCATCGGATTCTTAATTCAATGGCCAAAGCTCCAATTCAATCAACATCCAAGAACCGATGCCCAAATTTGACCAAAAAAAAGGTTCAACATACATTCCACATGTTGTAAGAAGGGTTCATTTTTCTCTTTGTAATTCTTATTTCCTAAGCAACAGAGGACCAAATCAAGCTTGTGAAAATGAGCCATCACTCCGATTTCTGTTTGAATGTCAGCGTCGTCGAGATCATCAAGTTTATCGGCTTGAAGGACTCATATTAGTACAAACAAGGCCAAAATTCCGGCTACATCCTGCAGAAAGCACTTGGTGAGGCCATTTTCTTGATCGTGAGGAAAGAGAACGTAGGCTGACCACTCAAATCGGGTATTGGCGTATAATGTATAACCTTCATGGAGCTTTTCCTTGGTTAGATTCGAGGGTATCTTCTTTGTCGATTCTCTTCAACTTCATTCATCCAATCATTAAGCCGGAGGAGACCCTTGTATCCGTAGTATGATACAGCAGCTAAAACCACCAGGAGGGTGAAAACTAGAAGACACCGTTTCACGTTGGAAATAATTTTCTGTTTGAAAATGAAGAGTTACAGTTAGCAAGTGAATAACGAGGCAGTTCAAAGTGCTCAGTTTTTTCTTTCAAGGAAATACGTACTTGCAGTGTTGAGGTTTGAGTCACTTGTTGCACCCGCTCACGCCTTTTCTTCCTCTTTGGTCCTTGCCTATCATTATCTGATTCCTTCACCTTCAAGACACAAAAAATGGCATTAGAATGACAGCAGCAAGTTTCAAATCACAAAAGTCTGTTTGAATTTCAAGATCTTACCTCCACGGATTTAGGTCTACGCAACTGTAATTCTGAATCATTAACCTTTTGTTTGCTTTTGCAGTCGGAATTGCAAGGAATGAGTCCAAGTCCAAATTGATTCTTAGATACATCTTTGGGATCAGAACCAGCATCGCGATAGGCTGCCTGAACATTGTGACATAACCACTCCTTTTTCAAGCTCTGGCATCCACAACGGACGGTAACCTTTGCATATAAAGTTAGAATCAAGTCAGAAAGCCAAAGACTGCGTGAAACGATAATTCATGCAATAACTTCACTTTCTTTTCCCTGAGCTAACAAACACGAAAATTTTCAATAAAACTTATATTTTATGGTAATACAAGAATTATAACCTTTTTAGAGCACTTTTCGGGTGATGAACATTGACCAGGATGACAAATCTCTGGGCACAGATGAGTACAATACGGCAACTTTCTGCATAATGAACAGCACCACTAAGATCCTCTCTTAATTCAAAGGGAAGCAAATAGTAGAGAGAACTGGAATAATACTTTAAGGTGTACAACCGAACAAACAAAAGAAAACATGTATTTGTATTACCTGTGACAAGGCCCCTTACATGAACGAGCAGTCATTTGCTCCTTTTCGGACAAGCTGTTAAAATATATGCACTCAAAAACATGAACCATGGAACCACAGTGACACGATCGCTTTACAAGCACCTTGCAAGGAGGGCAGTCTCCAGGATGACATGGCAAGGGGCAAGGATGAGGACATGCAGGCTCCCTCTCCTGAATGAACACATTTTCAGCAATCATGCAACATTTAGTTTCAAAAGTACTACAAGAAAGTCGAAGATAATAATTTTACTAAAAATTGAGGTAAAGATCAGTTTTCATGGAAGGTGGAGGATCCTAAAGAGAATCATCAGAGCAGTCTAATATGAAGGAATTAGTAACACCTTTTTGCAAGGAAGTTGACACTTCTCACAAGGCTCACTTCTTGCTTGCCGGACTGATGGCACCGTTTGATTCTTGAGGGGGTGACAAGTTTTTGTGCAAAAGTGATTACCACAAGGTAGAGGATTTCCGCACAAGTTTTCACAGGAAAATAGTGTGTTATCTGAGCAGACCATCTGATCCAAGGCACAAACAAATGATAAGTGGAATTCAGGATAAAATATGAGGCCAAGTTGATATAACTAAGTCAAGTAGTTTTAGTTGACATTCTGTGGTATCAAACACACCATTTTATCTGCTCCAATGTGCTGGCCAACACATGACCTCCAAACAAGTTCTGGGCATGGAGGGCATGGAGATCCTGGAGTAGATTCACTCTGATGAAAGGACTTCTTCTTCTTAGGTTTCAACGTAAATTCCGGATTCGGAGGAGGTTTAGGACCATGACACCTGAAGATTAAAATAAATGAATTTACTGAAATTAGTTGTATAAAGGAAGTATGTTAGAGATATTTTCCAGAGAATAGCTAAAAATTGAAATAATGCATTGAAAAAAATCCAGCAAACCTTAGCTTGCACTTGTGGCCACATGGGTATTCTTCCTCACAAAGTAATCTACACGGGTGGCAGGCTCCATAATGGCACTTATGTGGCTGGGGAAAGAACAAAAATAATTGTCATTACCATAACACAAGGCACTGTTAAATAGGGGTAGCATTTTTCTTGTCCCTAATAAAATAAAAAATAAAGAACATTAGGATATAACAAAACTAAAAGACACTCAAATTTTGGAAGAATCAGATATTACTAAAACTACACTTCGATGACAGTCCTAACTCCTAAGTATCTATTAACTGCACATTCATGATAATGGTCATGCTATAATTTTAAGAACCTACATGTATGTTCCAATAAAGCTCAAGTGTAGATCCTTGACACAAACCTTGAGACAAACTAGGCCAAACCAACCAACCGTACCTTGGAATTTGGTCCATGCCTGCATAAAGGAGTAATAGGGCATGGCTTACGACATCTGGGAGGCTTTTGATCCATCTCAGTACCGCAAGGAACCTGTATACAAAATCCATTTGGAAAGTGGAAAATACATCTTCAGACCAATTTGGCAAAGGAACATAAGAAAACTTTTGTTGTGCAACATGCTATGAACCAGGTCTGCTTTTCTAACGATATTAACCCGGAAAGTTTAAAAAAAAATATCAGAAAAGATGTTCACTCAAAGAACAAAAATTGCAATCCTTTTGCAGCAGTCACAAGCAACACCTCTGTTAGTATACATGTTGTTTATCCTAATGAGACAGTTTGAATCACCACCAAGTATATAGAGATGAACTACAATGGCAAAAACCTGCACCTCAAAGTGTGTCTGACCGCATGCACATGTAATTGTCACCATCACTGGGCACGGAGCACAAGCACCTCTGCAGGAACAAAACTGTACTTCATAATTTGCAACTAAAACCTTTTCATTTTCATCTAAAGCTTCAAACTATTTGAAAAGAAAAACTGTTCATCACTTTAACTCTGAAGATTTCTCTTGAATAATATACATATTATATCCACACTATTGAATAACAGAATGTTCCAGCTCAACTAATGTGACTACAGATCTGCCACAGGATAGGGAAACATACCGATGGCATGGAGATGGGCACTTGTGGTTCCTACATCGTAGCTTTCTTCCACAAATCTAACAGTTCAAAAATCAATACAAACACAAACGATTATAGACCTAAAATCAGAATTTTACCAGTATAGACCTAAAATCAGAAGCCAAACCAGGAACACAAACCTCTGAGCACGGTGGGCAGTCCCCATCACAGCACCGGCGCTTACAAGCATGCCGCCCACAGTCCCTTAGTCTCTGGCACTTCCTTTCGCATGCTAAATCTTGATGGCAAGGAACCTATTCTAGATCCAATTACACTATCTTTTAGTGAACTCATAAGCTAACAAGTGAATCAATCCCTCTTTGATCGAAAGATTCTAAATTTGAGCAAAATAGCAAACGTCATACCTCCTTTTTCAAGCTCCCACACCGGCACGACTTGATGACAACTGTTCTGCAAGTCTCAATGCACTCCCCACGATGACACCTCTCCGGGCACCTATGGTAGCCACAACTGAGCATCTTATCACAAGTTGAACCACACAAAGGCACAGAGGCTTTGCAAGACAATCCCTCATGCATTCTCTTTCCACAGGGGCATGTCCTCTTGCCCTGGGACGGGCACGGCCCGCACTCCCCCAAATGACACCCTTTGGTACACTTATGCTGCCCACAGCCAAGCACCTTCTCGCACGGCTCCTCACACCTAAAATCAAGCCGCTCACAACACTCCTTCTCCTCCTCCTTCTTCCCACATTGGCACCGGTACACTCCCCGCACCCGGCACGGCGAGCAGGGCCCCTGGTGGCAAATCTCCGAACACCGGTGGATCCCACAAGCCAATACCTTCTTACAAGCATTGTTACAAGAGAAATGCTTAAACCCACATCGCCGGACGTCCTTCACAGACCCACAAAAGCACCGAGATTCTACGAGCTTCGGGCAGGACGGGCAGGGACCCGGGTGGCAAAGAAGCAAGCAATGGTGGCCGCAGCCGTGCTTCAGCGGCCGATTGCAGACCTCGCCGCACGAATGCGGCAGAACCCACGGGTCATCGCTCGGTGGGTTCTCGAGCATTCCACAGAAGCAGTAATAATTCTTGGGGATTTGGGAATGGGGGTACTCTATCCTACATTTGGGGCAGTTCCAGACTGATACCTCGGCGGCTTTCTGGGCGGAAATGGGGAGGCGCATGGAGGCCCGCAAGGCGGACAAATCGGATGCCTGGCGCGCCCAGCTCTGGATGCAGATCAGGTGGAAGACGGAGAAACAGACGGAGGTGCAGGACCAGGTCGGGTCGGCGGGCCGGATCCGCTCCAGGCATATCAGGCATGACAGAGCGCCGGAGGACGATGACGTCAGGAAAGATTGGATCTTGGAGAGGTCGGCGGTGGTCGCTGTTGATTTTCCTGTGAATTCCAAGTAGGTTCGGAAAATGGAGTCGGAGAGATCCGAGTGGCGAACCGGTCCGGAGCCGGATTGGCTCTGGTCGGAGTCGGTGTCGGAGTCCGAGTGGTTCGAGGGCATTTTGGGAATTTCGGGGCCAAGAGTCGATCTTTTACTTGTTTCACAGAGCGCGGCAGATTTCGGAGATTTTGAGCGCCACGGCACGTCGGCACATGGAAAGTCTCTAAATTGGTCGGATTATTGATGGGCCTCCAAATAACTAAAGTCCATTTACTATTTGGCCCGGCCCACGAGGCCCAAATAAAATAAAATAAAATACCAAATGATGCAAAAGCTTGCAAATTTTATTGAGGAAGAAAAAGTTACAAACTGTTACAAATGACATAACTTCCAGGTACACGACGTCGTATGACATAAATCTCACACAGGACTAAATAACGTATAACCAAATACAACAAAAGGCTTTACATTATTGTAGTGTTCTCTTCTTCTCCGGCGACACAACATGGGAACCAGGTTTTTTTTCAAACAAAATCGAAGTGCATAAGAAGCTTCACCGATTTGTACTTCTCTCCCTTGGGGCAGTGTAAGGGAACTGCTCGAATCCCTCTTCGTAGCTCAGACACCGGCAGGCAGGTTTGGCCTCCAAAGTCGTCCTTCTCCGACATGTCGTACTCATGAACTTCAATGCGGAGCACAGCTAGTTCTGGAACGGTTAATGGGAATTCGAATTCTTCGTTCCAGGCCGGAACCCAATTGTCCTCTAGGGCCTTTGTCTTTTTCATCACGCTATCATCAGCAACTCCAGCAATTCCTACCTGAACGTTACAAAGTTGATATCACATTTTCGATTCTTTGGTATACATGATCCGGGAGTTCCTGAAACATGCTAGTAAAAGCATGCAGACAAAACCAACAGCACTGGAAAACGGGAGTGGTAAAAATGCGCAGGTGAAATCACAAGGAAACAGCAAAAACCCGCGAGACAACAACAATGTACACAAACATTCCCAAATACGAGAAGTGATAACGATGATGTAGACTGCTTCAACCTACCCTTGCATAAAAATCCGGAGGAGAATACGCATCAAAGTGCGTGTGCTTGAAATCATAGTACCATCCTTCTCCCATATATACTTTTACCTAGAAAACAAATGAATAACCATTAGCTACGACAAAACAAGTGACGACAGTCAGAAGCCTAGCAATATGGTGCTCACCTTCAAAGTTTTTTTCACTGGTAAACCATTTTTAGGATCAAACACCTCATTATGTGAACCACTCTTCAAAAGAAAATCCGGTTTTTTCACATAGCCGCACCCGCCATTGGCTCTAAACATTCCCTGCATCACCCACAATGGTCTTCCATATCCCTGTCACAAGGAAACCCGCTATAAGTATTTGCAAGAGGTAAGCCAAGAAATTATTCATTTATTTATCTCTATTTCGAAAGCCATAGAACCTAAGTGATCCTCCATTGACCCTCAAACCAATATTGGGACCACTAGACAACGCCAACCATTTCCCATGTAAGGGGAGGAAACAAAAATAATACTTAATTAACACAATGGATAATAATTAGGCACCACCAATATGGAAAAATAGACCTTTCTGGCAAGACGATATTCTAAACTACTCTAATTTAAGGGGATGGGGATTTCAAACTCAGGTGCAAGGGGGCAGGCAGTTTGCCCCCCTGCCAACTGGCCTATCCCACAACTGGTGAAAATTAGACCTTTAAATACACAAAAATTTTACCTGCATATTAAATGCAACCATTTGAGCCCCATACGACCACCCAATCATTGGGTTGTAATTTGATGAGTCCACACGTATGCCCTTTGGGTACACCCTCAGAATATTCCTCTGAGTAAACCTATATGAAACCAGTCATCAGTGTGGAAAGTTTTTTCTTCCAATAATCAAGATGCAAGTATACATTATGATTCCTAAATACACATTAATGTACTGGACAAGAAAATGGCTAAATGCATGACTCTACACGCATAACAGAAGTGATGGTAGGCGGTACGCCTGCACTGGCTTAATAAGATCTATCCAGGACAATAATGTAAAGTCTATCAAATAATTGTAATGTAATTAGCACTGAACAGTAAGTGCGTTGTTTTAAGGTTAACCAGTACTCAAATGAAACTTGAACTCACATGACACGATATGATTGTCTCACTGGTGCTACATTCTTATTTTAGTAAGAGTTAATGGCATGTGAGCGCAAGTTATAGATGGGAAGAGGATCCCTTAACAACACAGTTCATAAAAGATGTGAGTCAAATACCTGATGATTTCCTTTCCGTACGTTTCTACTGCCTTCTCGAGCTGTTGCTCACTTAAGCTTATACGCCGCACTTTATCTGCATCTACTTTGAGACACTCTGCTAATCCACCTTTAGGTTTCCCAGCATGAATGGCAATTAAATGCTTATATTCAGGTGCTACATTTTGCTCGGACTTGGAACCACCATAATCAACATCTTCCTCCTCATTGCTATCTTCTTTATCCAATTCATCCTGCTAAAACACAACTGAAGTTAAAAATTAAATAAAATAAACTAAAAAAGCTTGGCACACCACATCAGCAATGCAGCAGTTACACTAAAAAAATCTCCACACCTTGTCATTTGCCACAGTTGCACCTTTGGCGTCCGGAACTTCTTTACCCCACGCTTCCTCATCAGCTGGAGTCTTTCCACTCTTTGGATCACTTTCTCCTCGCACAGCATTCTTTGCCTCAGGATATTTCTTAGGCGGTTTGGTTGAAATAATAATCCTTTTCTTTAGCGACGCTGGAGATGGAAATTCTTTCAAACACTCCGAGCCAGGATGAAACAGCACGTCCCCAAATGTTTCAGTGAGCATCTAGAAAATGGCTGACAAAACAATAAATACCAGACCATTCGAGTTTAAAATCCTAATAACGCGATTGCAAATACCAACCTGAGCAACTTTGGCTTGAAGATCAGGGGTAAGGTGGTCTTCTAAAGTAATCACAACAGGATATTCAGAGGCAGCAAAGGCATGTTCCTTGATAGACCTCAAACACTTGATAAGTTCCACCGGTGTAGTCAACGTCCTATAACAAAACAAACCGACTTTTGTCTCAATTCGGTACAAAAACAAACTACATAGTTTCACTATTCCGTTACTAGGTATAGCAAATTTCTCCAGTTAGGTAACAAAATTACAGAACAAAGATCGCAAATTAATAGCGTACATATAATTCACTATTCCATTACTAGCTTTTAAACATATTTATCCAAACAGGTAAATTACAGCACAAAGATAAGCTTCACTGGTCTCGTCAATGTCCTAATAAAACAAAACCGATTTTCGTCCCAAGTTCGGCACAAAACCGAACTACATACATAGTTTCACTATTCTATTACTAGATTTAGCATATTTGTCGAAATGAGTAACAAAATTACAGGACAAAGATCGCAAATTTGTCCAAATGGGTAACAAAATTAGAGCATATTCCACCATTCCATTACTTGTTTTAGCATATTTGTCCAAATGGGTAACAAAATTAGAGCATAAAGATTGCAAATTTGACAGTAACCATACCCTCCGTGAAGCACATCGACATCGTCTTTGTTCGAATTAGGCCAAATATCCAGCTCAATCACCTTCACTCCTCTGCGAAGAGCTTCTATAATCGGAACGTCACTGCCGTGACTGCTCAGCTGGTTCCCGGTCAGATAAGAGTTGTGCCCTGTGTGTATGAAATAATGCGACAATGGCGCACTCATATCATGGTGCACCTACAATAAAAAAAAAAAATATATATATATATATATATATATCAAAATTCATACCAAAAAATTAACAAAAAAAATCATAAAAACAACTGAAGTTACCAAAAATTAATTCCATTGTTAAATTAAAAGTAAAGTTAAAATGATGTGTACCCCGAGAGCTGGAGAGATTGGGGGGTTGATGTCGCCGAAGAGGTACTTGAAGAATGCTTCGAGATTGAAGACCTTGCGGTGGAAGATGTTGAGGTGTTTGAACTCGGCGAGGCTCTGTTCGATAAGGGCCTGAGCTAACTCCTTGGTGGCGCTCTCCTCCTTCTGGACTTCCTTCAGGAAGCGGTGGAAGTGATCGGCGGTCATGATGCCATTCTCCGAGTACTGAACGAAAAAGGCCCTGACCTCCGGCGGTGCTTCCGAGACGGCGAGCTTGAAGCGCCGCTGGAAGCAGAAGCAGACTCTGTAGGTCTGTTTGGACATGGACGATCGCCTTGCTTCTATCGGAATCCGGAGCCGGAGGATTTGGAGGGAATTTGCCTTTCCCGCGTCGGTGTCTGGTTGGTTGGGGAATAGAGAGAGGGTGGGGAGAGTGAAGTAACTCTAGAAGGAATGGAACGCGGGGTGGGACCCACCACCCCACGTTGTGGACTGGTGAGTAAATTTAATGAAGTGACGTTGCGGACCTTCAATATGGTGACGTTGCGGTCCTTGTCGATTGGACTTTTTGTCGTATTTTCTCAGTCTTTCTTTATAAAATTGCCTACTTTCTCTTACATTTTAATTAGGCATTTTTGGTAAAATAGTTCTTAAAAACGGCACAACTCTTTTTTTTTTTTTTTTTTTTTAATTTTTTGAGATTTTAAATTAATAAAAGTGATTTTTAAATTTGTCTATTATTAAGTATTCTGATCATTTTGTAATTTAAACAAAGTTTATAATAACAAAAATGCTTTTAATTTAATAAACAATTGGTCAAATTGTTTTGGGAACTTTAACGAAAAGCTTCCGATACTGTTATTTTAACAAAAAATCACATTTTTACACTAAAAAGTCAATCATTGTACTATTCACTTTACCTTTTATTTTATCTTTATTGTTAAAACTCAAAGTTTTCAAGTCATTTTCATTAGTTTTCCTAATTGTTTGGACATATATGAGAGTAATTTTTGCCTTTTGGTCTTATTTTAGAAAAAAAATTTCACGAAATGATCAAAATAATTGACGAAAGACAATAATCTCAAAACCAAAATAAAGAGTAATTTATTCTCATCAATTATTTTACCTAAAATACCTTTTAAACATCAACTTTGTGAATTAACTCGCTTAACTGTTGAACTATTGATGCTAAAGTTTGAATGTCAACTATTAACAAATGATATGCGAGTGGACAGAAATGTTATAAGAAAGGATATTCGCATATTAAAGTATATTAAAAAAATAAAAATATTTTAATCAATACTTAAAATTATTTTATGTCGACGAAACAAAAATGTTGACTTAACATTGTTTTATGTGTATTATCCTTTAAATAAAACATTGTTTATGTGTTTTTCTTATTTTTTTTATTTTTTTATTTTTATTGTTTATTTGTATTAATTATAGGTGAGATAAGGTGGGCTTTGTTGCCTTTTCGAGCTTCTGAATAAATGGATAAACATTGCGTGTTAGTTTATTAACTTTATTGGGATATACAACAAATTAAAACATAATCCGAAACATCCAACATTCTCGCTCGGGTATTTAGAAAAGGAAAACCGATAAAAAAATATTTGTAAATTTTGAGTTTTAACGATAAAGATAAAATAAAGAATAAAATGAATAGTACCAGGATTGAATTTTTAGTGTAAAAATATGATTTTTCGTTAAAATTAACATTACAGAGAGTTTTTCGTTAAAGTTCTCATTTAGAAATGCTTATTTCATTTTCTTGTGTTCGTATTTCATGTGGTTTTTTAATACTCAAAAGAGTAACTTGCACTTATCGTTCAGTAGTATGGTCTAATAGTATTCTTCTACAAGTGAGAGTTCTTATGTTTGAATCTTTTGAATGACGAATTCGATATCAAATTAGATTGCCTATTGTATGGCTAAACCAAACCCCTCCTCCACTTAATGTAAAAATATTAATGTACTAAAAAAAATTTAAAAGAGTAATTTGCACTTAATCAACATATAAAAGAATGTTATTGTTTTACTTGTAAACTTAGATTTGTATGTATTTTAAAATGATTGAAAACGTTTTTTATGAAATAAAAATTGAAATCAATCTGTAGTGAAAAAGAGTAATGTTATCTACATATTTATTTTTATTTCTCATACATCATTTTTAATTTTTAATCGTCGAATCAAATAAATCGTGCTTTTTAGAGTCATTTTTTTAGGTTCATAGGATTGGATTGGAGCAGTAGTGGATTAGTGGTACCTTGAAAATAATTAAATGAGAGAGAAAATTGTCAATGGGTTCCAGCTCAGTGGGATCATGCAGAAAGAAAACGACATTGGCACCAACGTCGACATGGATGGATCCGTCATCCAAGTCATCAACTTTTAAAATATTGGGATGATCCTTCGACTTCCATGTCCCTACAATCATCATTAATTACTGTCATTTCTTGTCGACACCTTTTATTCTTAGAAATACTAATAAAAATTGTTTAAAATTTTTTAATTTTAATAATAAAAATAAAATGAATAATATTAAGTTTAACTTTTTAATATACAATGGATTTTTCGTTAAAAATTATTTTATTATTTTGAATTGGCATTATTTTTATTTTTATTTATTTTTCTTTTCTGTCAATTTCTATTTCCAATTCCAACCAAAAAAGAAAGGGAAAAATCCTGTTTTCAATGGTCTAAATTCTGGCAAATAAATTTAGGATATTGCTTGTGTTCTTATAGGGAAACTTACTTGTATTTGTACTTATGGTTAACGAACTACTATCATTTGAACATTATAGTTAGAATTATTATTCGTTTTATCATCATTTAAAGATTATGTTTGTAAATACAATTAAATTTTAAAAATCATTTAGTCATCTATAAGTGTTAAACCAATCGATATTTTAAGAACAAGTAAGATCATCATGATGAACCGTCCATTTCTTTATGCATATAAATCACTAAAAGATCTTCAAATTGAATAATTTTTGCACATATGATATTTAGATACTGATAAAGAGAATGAACGATTTCGATTATGATATTTGAACAATAAAGATTCATTAGCCGCAAGTGGATGACGCAAACATTATCCCTAAATTTATGTAGTTTGATAAGATTTCTATCAAAGATAATAGGTTAAATCAACGAATAGAAATTACCGTTTTTGTCAAATCATAAACAAGTTGAGGGGGCTGCCGCTTATAACGATCTTTTAGACTAAAGCACTTTTGGGAGAAATCGTGAATTTCAACGTTTGAGTGTAATTTGGATATTGAGGTGCAAATTTAAGAAAATTAGACCTGCCAAGTTTCAAAAGGCCAATTTTTCCTCTCTGCTTGTTTTATTGCATGACAAAAACGTCAAATTAGGTTTGTTGATTTAACGGGTTCTCCTAAATTAAAATTTAAGTAAACTACGAAACTCCAATTACCAAAATTAAAACTACAAGTGTTTTAACAAAAGATCTCAAAAGCTATAATGACAATACATAAATATTTTAGTGTCTTAACTCCAACCCTAATATCAAATTCAACGGTAGATGACCAAAATAACGAGAATCATTGTAATGTAATTAATTTATAATTTGCTCTCATGAATGCTCGTAGAACAGCACATTGGACGCATCTAGTAATATATAGCAAGTCAAACACTACCCAACTGATTTGACTTAAAACTTGATTAAGCATTAAACAATCTCATAAGATGATTAGCAAGCGACGATTAAAAGTTAATTTATAATTTATATGTTTATAAAATATGATCCCACTAACAAAACTCATGAGTCAAAGTCACGGCCTCGATACAAGTCAAAATCGGAAACATAATTAACAATATCACTAATTACATACACACTTGCATACCGCTTAGGGCTTGTTAGAATGTACTAGTGACTAAAAGCGTTTTATAGAATGGTACATCCAATCGAGCCCTCAATTATGTTGCAAGGGAGAGTGCATTCTCGAATTGAAACCTTATTAGAAGCTTTACAGATTTGAGTTTCTCCCCCTTTTCATCATACAGGGGGACTGCCCTGATCCCGGGTTTTAACTCGGAGACGGGCAAACACGTTTGCCCGCCAAAACCGTCTTTCTCGGACCTGTTATACTCTCGGACTTCTAACCGGAGTATGGCAAGCTCGGGAACTGTCATAGGGAATGTAAACTCTTCATCCCATACAGGTATCCAATCATCCTCAATTATCTTTGTTTTGAACTTACCACAATCTGCTGGCACTCCAACAATAAAAACCTGCCATAATCCACAAAACACTCCCAGTTTTTGAGTTGAACATTCGTATGAAACAAATAAACGCATAATTCGGTTGATAGAAAGTATAATTCATCTAACCTTTGTGTAGAAATCCGGAGGGGAGAAGGAATCAAAGTGCGTCCGGCTGAAATCCAAGTGCCATCCGTTTCCCATGTATACTTTCACCTGTCAATTAACATCCATGTACTCATGAGACCATTTCAGAACTCCAACTATGAACTTCACTTTTAAGTTGAAACAAAATGTACTCACCTTCAACGTCTTTACCACGGTTAAGGTCTTTTTAGGATCGAAAACCTCACCATTCGGACCCTTGTACATCAAAAAGTCGGGCTTCTTTAGATAACCACACCCCCCGTTGGCTCTAAACATCCCATGCATCAACCAATTGTATTTGTCATTTCCCTGTTAAAGAATTTTGACATGTTAGCTAGTTTCTATATCTCCCACAGGGATCGAATCATGTTTTTCTTGAAACCTTGAACTCGAAGCTAATCTCTGATGACAAAAAGAAAAGCTTGAAACTAACCTGCATATTAAATGCAACCATTTGAGCTCCATGCATCCACCCAACATGCGGTTCGTAATTTGAGGAGTTGAATCTTGTTCCCTTCGGGTACACCCTTAGAACATTCTTCTGTGTGAACCTAGAGAGCATAACACAAGAAGAAGTAACAGAACTGTTAGTACTGAGAAGAACACGGATAACAAAAGGATAAGCTAACTTCTTGCAGTTATTACCTTACGACATCAGCTCCATGATCTTCAGCCGCCTTTTCAAGCTTCTGTTCACTCAAACTTAGACGTCTAACTTTATCACCAACCGCTAGTGCATCCTTTAATTCACCCGACGGTTTTCCAGCATGGATTGTTATGAGACGCTTGTACTCGGGCGCTGATTGTTGGAATGATTTAGCTTCAGCTGCATTGGCATTGTTGATAGCCTCACCCTCTTGATCACTCCCACTCTGAACCCAGTAAAAGAAGTAATGTAAAAGAAGCAAACCCGTAACCAAATTGGGAGATAAATTAATTGCACTTATCAGCTGACCTCTTCAGATGAAGACCTTCCACCACCCTTGTCCTTTGAACTCTTTGATTCGCTGTGTTCTTTTGGCGGTTTTGTTGAGATAATAATTCGGTTTTTTAAAGATTCGGGCGATGGGAACTCTACCATCTGGTCTTCTGCGCCCGGATAATACAGCGTGTCTACAAATGTTTGGATAACCATCTACATTATGCAAAATCACAAACTTGAGGTCAGAAAACAACGATGTGAAAGCAACAGATGCAAAGTTCAACTGAAATCTAAACCTTTACACACAAGATTCGAATATGAAAGCTAACCTCTGCAACTTTTGCCTGAAGTTTGGGAGTAAGGTGATCTTCAAAAGTTATAACAACAGGGTATGGAGATTTATCAAAAGCATGTTCTTTTATCGACTTCAAGCATTTGATTAGCGTCACAGGAGCGGTCAAGGTCCTACATTGCACAGAATGTATTCATTTTTGGTTCAATCGTCATTGCTAACTATGAATCTACAATCGAAACATGATTTAAGATGATCAACTGAGCTAACAGCTAGGTAAGTACCTTCCATGATAAACTTGAACATCATCTTTTGCAGAGTTTGGCCACAAATCGAGTTCGATTACTTTAACACCCTTTTGCAATGCCGTGATGATTGGGACATCACTGCAGTCACTACTGAGTTGATTCCCAGTAAGATAGGAATTATGCCCTGTATATATGAAGTAATGTGATATTGGAGCATTCATATCATGGTGTACCTGTAATTGCAAATTCACATGCATGTTAGCCAACAACAAACCTAATATGGCCCCTCTATTCCGAGATAAATCTTCAGTAGGGTAGCCTGACTACGTCATCTGGAAAGCAACTCTCATGAAAACATAAAAACTTTCTATAGTTAGGTCTCACTATCGAAGGTTCTCGCCTCTATTTCACTTGTTCAAAGCATCCCTATATCATATATAATTAAGAAACAAAAATGCTACTTTTACCATCTAGTTATGCCATCATTTGTACATCCTCTGCTAGAGATGAGACCTACATGCGTTGGCAGACCCTATCTCTATTAGATAGATGGTAAAATTATGTAGCAGGTGTAGCATTACTCGTTGAAAAAACTTCAAAACAAAAAGATTCAGATTAAGTTTTCTTGTCAAACTTATGTTATCAACTTATCATGCTAGACTTTGTATTTTGAACACGTATCTTAACAAGAATTAACTTGACCAATCATCTAAACTCACGTAATGCTCCGTAAACATTTCAAATCATCACTGCATCATACATTTGAAATTTAAAAAAAAAAAAAATTGTTTTCTCATTCGACTTATGTTAACAGATTGTAAACTTAGAGCACGCGTCAACATGATTACTCCGATAACAATGTTCTGTCGCATTGTTATCAAAGTACCAAGTGAATTTTTAGAGTGCCGATAACATCTAATTAAAAGAAAATCAAAATGCATGTGCTGGGAGTGACGAAATTTGACCTGTCTTCTGATTGGACTGTTGAATTCTTCAAGAAACAAGAAATGAAAGAAATCCTCGACAGTGAGACCGCCCACGAGCTTCTTGTTGTGCGCGGCTTCTCCCGGGTGGTGGGTCGTGAAGTCGAGGAGGATAGTGTGGGCGTCGGAGATAGTGAGGGCCTCAGCCGACTCGCCCTGGTGCTCGACCAGGAAGCTCCGGAACTGGTCGATGGACATGTGGTCCCCGCCCTGGGCAAACTTCGAGAACACCGCCTTCACGTCGGGCGGCGGGCCGGCCACGCTGGCCTTGAACTTCCGGTTGAAGCACTTGAACATCGTGTAATTGTGGTGCGGCGCATTGCTGTCACCCATTGAAAAACTCCAATTCCGATTCGATCGACTTTTCCTTTGGTTTTCTCAGTTTTCTGTTTGGTTCCCGGGAAAATGAAATGAGAAAAAGGAGGGGAAAAGTGAGAGGAGGGAGTGATGAAGGAAGACGAGAGGGGGGCCTAAAAATCAGCTGGATCGTTGGAGATTAACCGACCAATCAACTGTTCGTTCCAACTCCAAAAGCTTCTCCCCTGACGTGCCCACAAAATAACATAAAAAGCCTGACGAGGTGTCGTCGGAATTCGATGCACTTTGGACGGTAGTGTCCGGGCCTTTGATTTATGTGAAAAAAAAATCAGCATCGTTATTTGTGTGAGGTGAGCCAACCGAGTGAATAAATTAGAATCATTGAATTCGATTTGCATGGTTCATATTTTTTAACCTTTGAACTTTGGACACTAAGGTTCGAAGTGGGTCTAATTTTGTTGTTGTCGTCTTTTTACGGGTTCCAAAAACATATATGATTTCATTTTACACGTTGGTCATGAAAGAATTATATCCCATTCTAATAATAACAAGGCAACGAAAAAAGCCATTTTTACTAATTTGCAAATTTAATGTGGAATTCTTTAAAATGTGACATTGAAATAAGAAAAATGCTAATGAGACTCTTTAAAATGTGAGATTCTTTATGAATTTTCTGTCACCTTATAGTTTAACCTTAATATTGTGTAAAAAATATGATGTGATAGAGAGTTTGTGGAGATTGCCATTTTTAAGAAAGTCCTATTAACATTTCTCTTGGAATAATGTTAGAATACTGTCACAATGGAGTGATAACACAGAGATACGAAGTATGAAACATGTTAGAAAAAAGTCATGTGAGATGATGCAAAGAAGGGTTATAACACACTACATTGCGCTTATATTTTAGAATACTACTACAACGACGTACCAAGTGTATGGAAGTTATTACAAAAAGAATGAAATTGACAGTTTTGGACATAGTTGGTGTCTTAAATAAACTGTTTGGTACGTGGGACGGGACGGAATAGAGTGGGACAAGGAGTTCCGTCCCACGTTTGGTGCGCCTAAAACGGGTGGAACGAGCTGTTCCACGGGACGAGTTTTGGATGAATTTTCGTTCCACCTCACCCCCTGGAACGACTCGTTCCACATCCGTGAAACACAAAATTATAACCTCTCCATCTCCTTCTTCTTCCTCCTTGTTTCCATCCGATGTCATCTTTACTCCCGTTCTGTTCCGTTCTGTCCTGTCCCGTCCCGTCCCGTCCCGTCTGCATACTAAACGATACCTAAAATACACTCTTGGGTGGCCGGCCTTAAAATGTTTGCTTAGTTGGGCCCAAACAAAAATTTATTCCAGATGACAGGCCCACACATCCAGTCCCACTCACAGTCACCCGCAGCTTACAAGTCCCAGTCACCCGCAGCTCACAAGTCCACAACTGCCGGCCGGAAGCACTGAGAAACAAGAAACGCCGAGATGGCGACCGGAAGAAGGCTGGTTTCGGCGGCGGCTCTCTTGTGGGTCCTACTCCTGTTCGGCACTTTGGCCTTCATCCTGGTACAAACTCCACCACTATTTCTCCCAACTGCATAAATCAATCTCTGCAGCTTTCTCTTCTCTCCAGATTGTTTTTTGAATTTGTTTTGCGATTCGATTTCAGACTCGACTCGGCGACGACGGAGCTCTGAACAAGCCGAATGTTGTCAAAAGCGAGCTCCATGAGGTGGGGATTTGATAATCTCACCCGCTAGTTTTCTTTGGGAACCAACAGAGCTGCTTATTTTTGTGTTTGTTTCTGTTTTTGGCAGGAGAACGATTTGGAGCAAGTGACTCACAAAGTGTACTTCGACATTGAAATTAATGGGAAACCCATTGGTATGATTTCTTCATCTGGAAATTTTGATTGCCCAATTGGTCATTTCATCAATTACTTATGTGCAAACATTTCTGGGTAATTTTTAATTTCTTCCAATTAAATGTTATGGTTAAATTAAGTTAAGAAATTTGGGTTTTGTTCATCAGCTGTTGTAAATCACTTGGCAGATAAATGTTGCTTAATTGAAATTATTCATATTATCAATTAGTTTCGAGCAAACATTTCTGGGTAGTTGTTAATTTCCTCCAATATTTGATCAAATTAAATTAAAGATGAGAACTTTGTGTTTTGTTCATCAGCTGCTGTAGATTTTACTTATTCATGTTTTGTTTTCTTTCAGGTCGCCTTGTGATGGGTCTCTTTGGAAAAACAGTTCCTAAAACCATAGGTTGGTACCCCAGTAAAGTGCAAGCATTGTGTTTATATGTTCATTCTTCGTTGAGATATATTTCTGTGGAAAGAATTAACCGAAGTTTCTGTTTCAAATGCAGAGAATTTTCGAGCGCTTTGCACTGGTAGACGAGTAACTTTAGCTCCCTTGTCTGTGATCTTGTGATCATTTGCATGGAAGCTACAGATTTTGTGTTTTCGAGTTTAATGAGGCCTCCTCGCTTTTCAGGGGAAAAAGGAACTGGAACGAGTAGGAAGCCTCTTCACTACAAAGGCAGTACATTTCATAGGATTATCCCCACCTTTATGATACAGGGAGGTGATTTCACCCTCGGTGATGGACGAGGTGGAGAATCAATATACGGTGATAAGTTTGCAGATGAAAACTTCAAACTACAGCACACCGGGCCAGGCAAGTAAAGTCTGCTAAAGTTCTCATTTAAGTGAAGTTTAAATGTAAATGTCGGAAGTGTATTGCTACTCATCTGAATTCGACTTTCTGCCTGAAAAACAGGGATTCTTTCTATGGCAAATGCTGGGCCTGACACCAACGGATCTCAATTCTTCATCACAACAGTCAAAACCGGTTGGTAGGTTTCCCTTTCGACGCTTCTAGGAATACCTGCAGTTTTAGATATTCAGCATTGCTAAATTTCTAAACGCGGTGTTTCTCAAGTAAGTCAGGGTTAGGAGAGATCAATTTTGTTAAGTTTTTCTCAAGTGCCAACTAGTTTCCATTCCCATTAGAAGAATCCTTTCCTACAACTGAAATAAGATCAATCCTGTCATACGATTACGAACTAGGTTATGATTTTGGCATGCATATTTTGATTTGGAGACCGAGCACATGTATCTGAACAGAATGTTTTGTAAACTGACATGCCTGCATTTCGCTCTGCTTTTCTTGAAAGGTTGGATGGGCAGCATGTTGTATTTGGCAAGGTGCTTTCCGGGATGGACGTAGTGTCCAAAGTCGAAGAAGTAGGAGGCAAGGATGGGGTACCTAGGAGCAAGGTTGTCATCACCAACAGTGGCGAACTTCCAATGTAACTACACTAACCTTTCATACGAACAGCAATCGGATTCTCCTCCCTGTGAAAAAGTATTACAACATACTATATGCTTATGTTGCACAAGACTCATAAATGCATCACTAAAACGAGTTTCGATTCAGTTACTTCTAGTCTGTATTCGAATCTCGGCTCCTTATGTGTAAGGAGCAATTTCTCCGTATTTTTAAATTATAGATTGACACGTGCACGTGTAACTCGTTAGAATCACAAAAAGAAATTTATGCATGTACGAGGACAAATTGGACTGTCATGTAACGAGCCAAGTATTTTTAGTAAAATTAAACAAGTTGTCTTAATGGTTCATTGATTTATTGACCAAATGAGGAAAATAACTTTAAAAATATAAACACTAACAAGTAATAACACTACAAAAACCTAGCTGGATTATTAAAAATGGCACTATTTATCGGGCTTGTCGCCGCCGTCCTTGGCGTTTCCGCCGGCGTTGTGCTGGTGAAAGAAGGTGGAAAAATTGGATGAGAGGTCGGAGTAAAGTGAAACGATCTTGGAGATGATGATGTTTATCTCCTGGATAAGCGCCACGTTCTTCACCATGTTGCCGGCGACCCGTGATCGGTGGTTGTCGTTGACCTGCTGGATCAGGGAGCGGTTGCGATCCAGTACGGACTGGACCTCGCGGAAACTGCGGTTGAACTGGTCCCACACCTCCAAATTGTGTGCTTCCTCGTCTTGATCGAAGACGGCGGTGACCGAAACGGTACGGTTGGGGATTCGTGGTTGAAGTACTCCATGCTCGATTCGGCTCCGGACGATGAGTCACGGGTGGTCATGTGTGCGAAAAATGCGCGCTCTACTCGGCTCTGTTATTTGTCGTTTGTTGTTTCCTGTTTTGGGACACTGAAATTACAAATATGTACCACACAACAGGTCTGCTTCATATGCCACTTTGTGGGACCATTGATCTTGAGAATTGGTATCCGGATTTCACTTGAAGACTGAGAACCTCCTCGAGATGAATTTTAAATATTTTTAATTTTCTCTAATATCTTAACATATCTACTTCACCAAACAATACTGTTTGGAACAAAGTTGAATAGTTAGATATCATATATTACAGTTTCTTCCTATTCCCTCTTGTTTCGTAATGAACAATATACCAAAAAGTCATATTTTTAGCAAAAAAACAGTTGCTTACCTCCAAACAATCCATATTTCACACCACTCTTGCTTACATCGATACAATTCACATAACTGTTGCTTACCTCTATACACTTTCTCAAAGTCGTAATGTTATAACATACATACCATTCTTCTTCTTTGTCATAAAATGCCAAAAGCACTTGCATTTATCAAATCAACACTTAAATGAACAACAACATACCAACAAAAATTGACTTGAAAATGTCCCGCTATCATATGTTTTATTATTTTGCTGATGTGATTTACGTTTTTATGCATAAATTGATATGTTGGTGGCGATGTCATCATCTCTAGCTGTATGTACCAAATAAGCAAACAAATCAACAAAAACACAGAAAAGCAAATCACAAATGTAATTATATGAAAGCAAGAGGACTAGTCATCTTACTTGATAATATCATACTCGTGTCTATGATCATGCTGAACTCTTTAGGACACAAAAAATCACTTTATTTATTTATTATTATATACATGTTGACTCTAAAAATTACAAAACCTACGTGGCGCGCAGACCGAGTAACTAATAAGCTAACTACGTCCTTCGGTTGAATGCGGGGCGTGCTAATTCGTCGGCCGAGCTCGGCCGATGAGTAAAACTTGTTGATGTCGCGTTGAGCGCGTTGTTGACTTATTTATCTTGCGATTGCGACCGAGGAAGGAACGCTCTCGGTCTCTGGGTTCTATAGCCTGAAGACAAGGCTACTAATTCTGCGGAGTTCACAATTCGTCGGAGCCTGATTCGGTCACTGTGATTATATTCGTAAGAGTATAAGCACGCCGAATCGAGACCAAACTATATGGGCACAGGTACTCAAATGTGATGTATGTCTTGATGGTAAACATAGTTTGGCCGTCGGAATGTCGAACCCTGAAACTTACTTGCGAGTATCCAATCATAAAAATCACTCGGCGTCCAATGCACCGAGCAATGCAATTCGTAACACCTAACTATGCCGAGAAGGCTAGTAAGATGACCTCTACCAACAAGGGTTTGAAAACCCTTCTCGGCCGAGACTTAGATAGGTAACCAGTCGGCCTCGACGCAGTGCTGTTTATCCAAACTGAAGGTGCTTCTCGGTCGGCTGGTTCTGCGGCAGCAGTGCTGTTTATCCAAACTGAAGGTGCTCGCCGGGTGCCTCCACAATGCTGTTTATCCAAACTGAAGGTGTGTCGGCAGAAAAAGAAAAGGAAAAATCTCAAGGTATTTGAGAGGTTTTGCGCAGGACGATTGTGTGCTGAATTTTTTGAAAGCCTTCCCTGTTGCATGATTTCTTGTATTTATAGCACCCCATTCCTTGAGACTGATTTACATTCTGATCTGGATTGGGAGTCCTTGTCCTGTTTCAACTCTAACTCGAACAAACCTACTCCCACTGGGATTCTGAATTTTCCTCCCTTTCGAGGGTTTACTCTTCGCCGGTCGGGAATCCTGGTCGCACCAGGACTCCCTCAACCTTTTCTATTTATCCGGATTACTTAGGATAGGACTTGACCAACCCTGCCAACCGGCCCAGGATTTATCATTCGGTCCATAGTATGACATAACCTTGGGGCGAGCACATCCTGCTGCTCAGCCCAACAAAATAATTTTTTGGGCCCAAACAATACAACTCAGGCCAGAAACACTAAAACACAACTCCTAAATCCAACTGAATCAGATGTAAAACAAATTCGAATATAATTTTCTAAATTAAGGTTAAAAAGAATCTATTTGTTTCTAAAGCCTAATTATTTTAAATCACAAATTTGAAGCAGATTTTGACATGCAATAGGTCAATAAGGTAGGAATTGTTTCAGACTAATCTTGATGGTTGGCATCGGACGAATCGTCCAATTACTGTTGGAAAGCTTGAATCAGAATCAATTTGAAAGATCTGGAGCAAAGTGACTGCTTGGTGGGGACAAGTCGCACAAGATTTTCAATTGGAAGAAATCAAAAGGAAAGAAATGAGTGCGGGGCATTTTTGTCCCAGTGAAAAATGTAATAATGTCAACTTATCATGGGTAAAATAGGTAGCACATTGTGATTATGAACAGTGTTTCTAATTGTGTAAGTCTATCTTACATTGTCGGTCTCAAACTCAAATAAAAAAAGACGAAAAGTGTGTCAGATAGTCGATAGCCATCACTCTGTTTTCACATCCCTAATTGAACTTTCCAAACTTCTCATCTCACGAACCACCAAAATGTATTCAGACCATTTTTTATTTATTTTAACAAACGATATTGTATACACTAGGGGGTGGGGAAGTGGATTAAGCCTCATAATGGACTAGCAATAATGTGGTTCAAATTCGCTTTTGGCGAGAATCGAATATAAGAACTCTCACTTACAAACGAAGAGGAATACCACTAGACATAGTACTAATTGGCGTTTAAGACTATTTTTTCAAAAACACAATAAAATAGAATCTATTTCTGATTTTTCACGTTTTAGATAGATCTTTTGAGCTATGTTATATTAACTTCACCATGTTCCATTCATTTTGGATGAAGCATCTTTCGATTCTTTTTCAGCACAAGAAGTTATATAGTTGTAACACCCGAAAAGTAATTTTCATGCGCCATTTCTTTCTCTAGATATGTCTATTTCTAGTATTTGAACAAAACCAACGTACAGAAATAAACAAGGGCATGCCGAAAGAGACAAATAGTATGTGAGAACGATTCGATATATGAATCCCACATTGGATAAAACATAAAAATAAAAAGTGTGAACAATTTTGCAAGACAAGGCTAAGGAAAAGGGAGGAGTGCGGAAATCATTCCACATCTGCAAATTAGTCCCACTGAATCTCCCAATAAAAAGTCGAGCTGGAGGGATTGAACGTTGTCTTTCCGTCAGCAGCAGCAATATCATATGGTGAATCCTCTGAAAATTCTATTGGCATGGATTTCCAGTGTAAACTTGGCTTCCAGTCAGCTTCTCTCAGTACCTTGAGTATCTCTGCCACCACTATTTTGCTCCCTTCAGCAGAAAAATGAACCCCATCTCTGCAAAAAGATAAGCGAAGATACGTTGAAATACATCTCAAGCAGATATCCGAACAGTGTTCATGATATTTGATCCCTATTTTGTATTCGTTCATATCACTATCGTATGACAAAATCATCGAAACATTTACCTGTGACGGATGACGGAATGAAACCTTCTCTCTGAAGAGAGGATATTAAGCAAAATTTTGCCCGAATATATGGATTCAGTAGTGTATGAGCTATTAACTGGAAAAAAAAAATCTTCACAGCTGAATCCAAGAGGGGCTAAAAGTTTACTTAAAAGGGTTTGAATATGTGTGCTGAAAAGCACACCTGCAGCAAGGCGCACGAAGGCGTGATAGCAAATCAACCGTACAGGTTATGCCTAATCGTCTATATATTCATCGCTCCATTACCTACGACCTTACTAGCAAAAATATTATAAGCAAAGTATATAACTATCCGGTAAATGAGGATGCTAAGATATTAAACAGGGAAATTGATGGTTTAAATGCAAACGATACAAATGTCAACAGATGGTATTAGCAAAAACGAGAGCGCGAAAATAAATGCCAACTTACATAAAACAAGTATTCATCCAGTCATCTTTTCTCTGAACTGCAGTGAAAAGATCAACATACGTGACATTGGTTTCCTGGCAAAGCTTTATACAAGCTTCTGAATACTGTTGGCATAATTCGTTGGTTCTTATCCGCTCGCTGAAAGTCCCGCTCCTTTTAAAGAGGAAAAAAATGATATATAAGGGGCAATGCCATAGACCTAAGATAAGGTTAACTATAGAAACAAGAGTTGCATCTGAGTACCTTATGTTTCCATTTATTACGGCCTCGTTCACTGGAGGACAACTAAGAAAGATGGTCCGCGTTGAATCTGAAAGGCTCTGGTTTTCAAATATAGTGTGTTAGAATGCATCAAATTTTCACTTAGATATATGCAAGCACAATATTCTCTCGTTTGAGGATGACACTGACGGGAAACATATATGCAACAAAACCAGAATCGAATTACTGCAACCACATAAAAAGATACATGTTTCTGGATAATTAATCAAATTTGTTTTCAAGTGTTCAAAAATCAACACCTTTTGTTTCCTGAAAACAAATTTGCTACTTGTTTAAGCCTCCATTTGCATGAGAAAAACAGTAGATGCCGAAATGGAATTTATGTAACAGATGGTTCAATAATTCAAAGGCATGCATCTTAACATAGATGAAGAAAGTACCTTCAGATGACTTGCAATCTTTCTCATGTTCTCGATATATTCAGGAAGCGGGACATGAGGGCCGAGCCCGGATGGATGAGGCCCCATAGAATCATTACCACCAAAATAAACTATCACCAAAGAAGGTTTTACAGCAGCATCCTAGAACAAAAACAGTAATTCAACATTGGAGCAAGGGCACTGTTATATACGCAAGAGAATATCTGAGTTTTGTAATCTAACAATTCCCCCCAAAACATGCCACTTGTTAAGATATGAGTACAAACAAACAAATTAGTCTTCGTCATACATGTTCCCTTTTACAAGGGTTTTCCAAATTACTCTAATATGTATAGAAAGGGAATTCGAACTTGGATGCAAAGGCGAGGGCACACTATTCTAATCTATTGCTCAACACAAACCCATACAACGCTTCTTTTGACAAATATTTTTTGTTGGTCATTATTCTCAAAAGAGTAGTTATTTCCGCACTCCATTTTTGATCGGGTACAATCCAAATCAAATATTTTAGAATTTTTTCTGCACTCAGCACTCACAAAGGGGTGGGTTTAGTTTTATTCGGTTTTGTTTTGTTCAGTTTTTTTTTTTCGGTTTGATTTTGTTCGGTTCGGTTTCGGTTTTTTCATTTTATAAAACTTGTTCTTTTTTTATTATGGAATTTAGAAAAGAGGCTTGCATTGGTAGACTAATAATAAGAAAATAGGAAAAGTGGGAAGGTAGTTGTACATATACAAGATCATATAAAACCAATCATATTCTATCAACAACCTCAATTGCAAAAAAAATTATCACCGTATCCATTTAAAAAGCAAACAAATAAAAAAGCTCTTCCGAGTTCCAAAGCCTTCCAAAACTTTCCTCCATAACCAATGAAATATCCTCCCTAATTGAACCAAGTATGATTCTTGAAAAATCCCTAGGCTTAGTTTCAAACCTGGCACCAAAGTTTCACAAAAGAAACATTATGGGCATACATTTATAAAGTGTAAAGGGATTTGGTTTGGTTCGGTTCGATTCGGTCTCTGAACCTCCAAAACCAAACTAATGAAGTCGGTTTGGTTCAGTTTTTCTTTTTTTTGGTTTTCGGTTTTAGGTTTTGGTTTGGTGTTCGGTCCTTTTTTTTTCAGTTTTCGATTTTTTGAACCCACCCCTACAATGAGGGCAGGGACTAAAGTCTTAAAATCACTAAATTACAAGCACATATCTAAAAAATGGTAACTTTTCAGCTAAAAGCATAATTACCTTGGGAAAAATTTGGTCAAGGACATTTACAGCACGCCGTGAGTTCCAACCCAGGTAACCACGCAACAATATGTCAGCCTGCAGAAGAAAGATCACAAACCCAATAACTAAAAATGAACCCCAAAGATTCCAACTTTAGACTTGTTTCTTAATTGTCGGAGTGAAAAGTTGACGACCCAAATCAGAAAAACAGGTGGAGAGAGTGAGAGAAACAGAACTCTACGAGAGTAGATGTCTGCAAAGAATGGCGCCCCAACCGCTTCTGTCGTAGCTCATCTGAACAATGGAGGATCCGAACAGAACAAACACAGGCCTAGTCGGTCCGACCATCTCTCTCTCTAAAGTCACGGAGTGTACAAGGAGGAAGAGGACGAGCAAATGGTCGGATGAGTAGAGAGCAGTTGGAGGGCTAGGACGACCTCCGAGTTTACTCTGAATTTGTTCGGTTTGGTTTTGGTTTGCACACTCGGTTATTTTATATATTGGCCACTCAGGCGGGAGTTGACGTTCGACCTTGAATACATTTAATATGAGCTGAAAAAAAAAAGTATTGAAGGGTTAAATTTTTTTATCTGACTAAATCTTTTCGTATTAGTTTGGGATGCGCATGTTGGGACCTGCCGAGGGGCTAGAGGGCTTGTTATATGTATTCAGTCCTTGGCTAAATTTACTCTTGATTGTTTTTAGCATATTCATTTGGATTCTTGAACGGAAATGAATTTTAATTCGTGCTAAAAGTGGCCTATAAACTCGTTAAAAAAGTACTCAAGAGTAATTTATAACTAATATCCACTTTTCATTCTTTAAAAAGTACTGAATCATAGCGTTTTGCAATAAAAAAAGTATTGAATAAGGAGAAATTTACAATACGGTTTTAGCCTGCAAAACAGTACTATGTGGTTGAAATGAAATTCATAAGGTGATTATTGAATATAAAACTTTAAATGCAGAAAAAAAAAATATAGAAATTGAAGATAATACCCTCATAAGAAACTTCCAACAACTTTGAGACAAAATTCATGAGGTGATTATTGGATTTAAAACTTCAACAACTCTGAAACGAGATTCATAAGGTGATTATTCATTTATTTTTTTAGTCATGTTTCCAGAGTAGTTTTCCGTTGAAAATGGTTAACTACTATTGACACCATGCATTCCCTCGTACGAAAATGACTAGTTTGGCAAGAGACTGCCCATACAAGTCACTTTCCTTCTCCAGATCACTTTCCCTATCCTCGACAACTTTTTTTAAAAAAATATTTACGGAAACATCAAACTTCCATAATTAGGATTAATCTTCTCATTGTTTGCTAAGGATTTGGATTCCATCCTGATTCAAATTGTGAGATCTTAGGGATTTTCACATCTTAATCATTTATCGTGCATCATGCAGTTAAAAATTATTTGATTTTTTTATTTAAAATTAAACACTAATAGTACCTGACGAAAACTAATTACATGATATACGATGAACAATTAAAATATGAAGAATATGAAGATCTGTAGAATTCCCACAAAATAAATCCGGAGAGAATCCTCTTCTGTTTGTGTTTGCTAATTATTGTCTTAATATGATTTGACCTATTTATTACTTATTATTTATAGAGCCAGCTAACCAGCACTTAGGAATCACGTAACCTTTAACCAAATCTTTTAGTCATCTAGAACTAAAGTCACTAAGCCAAACCCATTTTAGGAAAAGACTTGCAAAATAAATATATGCGTTGGCCCTGGCTAATACAAGAAAATTATTAGGGCTTCTTTTGATTCTTTAGAGCATCTCCAAAAGAGATGTCAAAATCCTAGGTAGAATGCTTCTGTACATATTTGACATCAAAGTTTCTCCAACCGAAATGTTATTTGCTGACTGGATTTGAAGGCTTAGTGATTTGATGGTAAATTTATTTTTAATTCATTTTAATAGTGGGTCCCTTATTCCACTACATAATATTTGACAATTCGATTGGATAAATACAAAATTTGACATAAGGCTTCAGATTGCCACATCAGCCATCAATTATAATTTGACTCTTAAAATTTAACATTTCCTTTGGAGATGGTCTTAGAAAGCATTTTACTTAATTAAAATGCAATTAAATTATGAAAAAACACTTAAAGTGTTTCCGTCAAAAAACACATAATTGGTATTTCTTTCAAAATGCACTTCAAGTGCTTTTAAAAACTCAAAACACTTTCACCTTCCAGTCATTTTAATAATACTTCTAGACAAGCCCGTATTTTTTTAGAAATTGCTTTTAAGAGCTGAAACACATCTAAAATTCTATCTAAAATATACAATATCAACATTAGTTGTTAGAAAACGCTTATAACTAGAGGAAATCTCAAAACAATGAAAATAAAAGCAATCAACAGTGTTACAAGGAGAGAGGGGGCGTAGGTACGTAGAAGAATGTGAAGCTGGTAAATACTAAATAGGCCATCAAACTGGGCCGACCAACCAGCCCTTCCTGGTTAGAGCAATTCCATCCGTTGGTGGAAGGGTAACGGCAAAGGCAACAGTGTTGCCCTCCAGCCCAAAAAACACCTCCAGCAGTCCATTAAACCAAGGGACGTGGTGGGCTAACCATTGCTAGCCCAGTAGCCCCTTCAACACTGCAGCAGTGAAGCCTACTGCAACAAAGCACTCATTTGTTTTCAACGACAAGGACACATGGCCAAAGGAAAATCGTGGATTTCCAAATGCGTGGAGTTGCACAAAAACAAGTACTATTCAAATTGAATAGCAAGAGCAACTTACATGCCCTTGCCTTTGCCTACCACTAACAGGTGAAGATGCTTTTAATGTTGCCCTTATGACTAGTTTATCTTCTTTCCTATCATCTGTTTCTGTTATGGGGGTACTTGAGTATGTTGTAACAGTCAATTTCAAACAAATACTAACCACAACCAGCCAATCAACTAAAACAAAGATTTGATCATCCTTTTATACCGTCTTTCAACACCCACCGTCCGATATCAACCAGTCACAGACCTCTTACTTATCTGCTAGGTAAAAGTTAGATGGAAACGATCAGGACCCGAATTGGAGATGGTACGTTTTGAATAATTTGAAAGCACTTCTAACGGTGCTCAACAGAAGTGAAACTTTTCGGTGTAAGGTCTCGCATTCGAGTCTTTGGTCGTTGTTTCGGCAGGTGAGGGAGATTTCTGCTCATTGCAGTCACCTCCGGCTTCTTCTCACCTGGATAGTACCAGGACGCTTGTGCCCTGGCCCTTGATCTTGCAAAAGCAATTCGGACACGAATTCCATTGGATGTAACACTTCCATGGAAGGGTGAAGCAAAAAGTGTGCAGCTGTCGCAGACAATGTTCATAATCCAAAAGGGTCTACAATTCACACTCAATCAAAATACTTCTAAGCAAATGAAAGTAGCAATCGACAATACATAGTGGATGAGGATCCTCTTTGTGAGCATCTCGAGGATCACTTCATCGTGTCTGATCGTACATCATGTGCCCAATTTTCATTAGATATTGTTTGTGTTCAATTTTAAATAATAAAAATTCAAAATGCACCCAATTTTCATTAGATACTCTTTGTGAGGATCTCGGGGATCACTTCATCGTGTCTGATCATACATCATGCACCCAATTTTCATTAGATACTGTTTGTGTTCAATTTTAAATAATAAAAATTCAAAATGATTTCTAGCCCTAAGATGACAGATGAACAGACACGATGAAATGATCTTCAGGATCCTCACAAAGAAGATCCAGATAGGATGCTATTCCAGAATTAATAACCAACCACTACCAGAACTGGTCCCTATTCGTTACCATTCCTAAATAACAAGGACACTGCTGAAAAATAAATAAAACCACCCAGTTAGTCCGTCAATGGAAAGTTGGTCAATGTTAGGGTGAGGACTGCTATTGTGCTAAGATCAGTTGCGTATGCGCGTTGATTCTGGCCGTTCCTGCTTTGTGGATCCAACAAGCATGAATGACCCAGTTGCGTACGCGCGTTGATTCTGGCCGTTCCTGCTTTGTGGATCCAACAAGCATGAATGACCAGGTTCAGCGCACACTCGGTCGACTGATCCTAGCATTGTCAAATCCGAGCACTACTCACATGCTAGGCATTCAAGAGGCTTACCTGAGTCTGCAGCCAATCAAGCCCTTTGCCACAGAGCCTTCGCTTTTAAGAAGCATGTTGTAAAGCAAGGGATTGGGGCACACTGCATAGAACACCTGATTCAAGTGCGTTTTCGACAAGAAGAATAGGGATGAGGTCAAGATATAACTCATAAGAGTAACTCAAGAAGCTTTATTACCCAAATAAGAATGTAATGTACAATTCATCTGTGAAAGAATCGATTCAAAAGTCTAAAATCTCTCTGTGCATATACCTCTGTGCAGATAAAGTATATAACTAATATCTCTAGCAAATAATCTGCTTCCAATATACAGTTCTCCTTTCAAGGGTTTCTACACAGAGATCAGATTTCTCGCTTGTTAGTCTTGCCAGAGGACATTGCGAACAATTATATATAAAACATATGGATAAATACAAATCATTTATTCCTTCCCATTGCGATAAAAAATCACCTGTCAATCTATTATCAGAGACCCTGCTTATAGACGAAGTGGCTTTGATCTATGGAGACAAAGAATGTGTATGCCCATTTTTGGGTAACGAATGAAGAAGTAACTATAGTTTGTTTCACCAATCTTTGGGTTTCCTGAGTTTGCGAGTCATAGAAATTGTGTTTGTGCAGTATCTTTTCAGTTTTGCCAAGCTACAGCTTTCCTTCCCTGTATAAGCCACAACGCTGCTTGCATTGTAAAAAGTCGAACTTCTAATATGATTTTGTCTAACCAAGCACTCAACCAGCGTAGGAAGGACCTCTTTTGTGATAGTTTTGCCTCAATGATAGCTTCAGAAGAAACCCTTCCAATGATCATGAATGTCTCAAGAGAAGGTACCTGCAACTGTTTGAGAAGCATTTCAGGTTTGAGCTCAAATACTAATTATTAAAATAGAAGACAGATCCCTTATAATAGATGCTTAATTTTATTCTTCTACAACCACTGAAATCCGACTCACAAAATTTGACAGAATTTGATGTAAATTTAGAAAGCCATATGGTTAAACACAACAGCTGCATGGTAAGGACATTTGACATACATGCAGCTTATTGCAGACGGCAAAAAAGGCTACATGTACTCACCAGCAGCTAGTTGAAAAGCAGGTTCATCTTACTATAATCAGGTTTTCAAAGGTATCAGCAATATAAATAACAACAAAGTAATACCAGAGCATTGCTAACTGATCGCAAACAATCATTTGTTTTCAGCATTAAAAGAATCTCGCGCGGCAGCCTCCTCAAAAGCTCTGATATTTGAGAGAAGTACTGAGAAGCATACATCTGCAAATGAAACATTGAAGGACGTTCAAGCAGTGATAGTTGTAAGTTGTGATTATATATCATCCACATCAATCACATAACACAAGAATTTAATTACAAGAAGTACAAATCTCCAAAGTGAGTTGCTTTTTTGTCAGTGAAAAGTCCTCATAAACACAAGAATTTAACAGCAACACTATAACAGTACATAACTCAGGTCTCAAATAATTACAAAGTAACGTGAAGCACTTATGCAATTGCAAGAGCTCACCTGCAGTTCTGAACGGTCACTTTCAGTGCCTTGTATAATCAAATGATCAACAGCTGGGTCAATGACCCTATTCCAAGGTCTCATAGTAAGAATCCCTGCAAATAATGCATACAAGTCCTCTCCAGCACCTAACTTTGCACTATAATCTTTTATTGCATTGGCATCAGAAAAAATCAACGCCTGCAACAAATCATAATGAAAAAGATAGCGCGGTAAAGAAAGTTGCTACAATATGGAAAAAAACTAGTTCAATAAAAGCAAAGGTGTACCTTCCACAGTGCAGCATAGTTAGTTCTGGTCTCGGGGTCAAGATCTTTATACAGACCGTGGTCTAGAAGTATCAACTGTGGCTCTTTCTTCCCTGTACATGAGAAGTCGGGTGAAAATAATTGAATGAGTTTTGAATATCTACATATATTATATTTTACTATTATTACTGCAAGTACACAGCAACTTTGTGACACATTATAATCAATAGTGTGAGTCTTGAAGACCCCAAATATGATTGAGGAATACACAAATATAACTAAACAGTTCATCAGTAGCATTAAAGTCATCCTTGTGATCCAGAAGCTTAGCATGATAAAATATCATGAATATGACAAGCCAACTAGCTCTCAAACAAATGGGGTGGGACAGCATAATACCATTGCGCTAGATCACAGTTTAGTTCTAGTTGTGCTTACTATAGAAAGAAAACTACAATAAAATTCTCAAATGATAGCCTCTGCAACAAAGTAGATTCTCACCTAGAAAGCTCTTTCCACTACCAGGCAGAGGACGAACCAACAAGTTGGCAGCATGGGGGTCACAATGCACAAACCCGTGTTTGAACATCATTTCTGCAAAAGATTCACTAACCTGCAAAACGTACATCAATCTTACTTCTTTTTTTCTCACTAAATTGCTAAGATTACATCTTTATAAGAGAGATGAAGCACAAGTTATTTTCCTTTTGCGGTCCATTGTTTGATATCCTTAACACGTAATCAAAATAATGAATCACATAGGGGAACAGGCGTCCAAAACCAGCCTTTGTGGAGGGTCTATATTTTAGCTTCAACCTTAAACCATAAAGCTGTGTTTCAATGTCCTAAAACCCTAATTCATTTGCAGTCAAATCAATGTGCAGTCATATAATGGAACTACTTCTGTGGTCAACTTATGGTCAATGGGATCCTTTAGAACAAGTATGTAATTTTGAATGGGGCAATCAATACTTTTACAACATGATTGTATAATATAGATTGTAGAAACATGGCATGATGCTTATAGACTTACTAGTCTTGCAACTTCATCAGGGCGAATTCCAAGTCTTTTGATGGTCTTCACATCATTTACTTGTGCGCCATCTATATATTCCATGGTCAACAACTTTGAGGTACTTAAACTCCAATATACCTTTGGTGCATATACATAAGCCGCAATATGAGGAGAGAACTTCTGAAAGTTTTCCAAGCATTTCTGACTGTTCTTGGCCTCATTTATAAAATCTAGTTCCTGATTTTCACAATCACATGCAAACAAATGACAACAAATCTATTGAAAATAATAGGCAGCACATATTTGTATGAGAGAGAATAACTACAAATGTCAAGCTAAGGTCCAAACTCCACATCTTTTTTATCACTACAGTGGCATATTAGGAAAGAAACAAACATTTCGTGCCAAAAAGATTTTATGAACATATAAAAGTTACTAAGACAATTAGACATACTGTAGAAATATATTTCTACAAGTTTATGAAGAAGCCAATCAAGGGATATAGAAATTAAAACAAATTACCTTGGGCAAACTTTCCCGCATCTCCTCAATCAACCACCTGTTAATGAAACCAAGAATGAAAATACAGCAATCAGTACAGCAAGATTACCATGGTGTTCATCATCTTATCAACTAGTAACTAGATGAGAAACTAAACAGGTACAACAGGTTTAGTAGAACTACCTGTAATCAAAAGAAGGAAAAATCTGGTGCAGGGTGTTCACAATAAAGTTCACAGTAGCACAGTCTGCAGCTGCAGTATCTGTCATGTGAGTGTGCTGAACCTGAAAATTGAAAATTATTTGGGCCAAGAAAGAAAACTCCGATAAGAAAGACGCATGTTTCAAAAGTTGAATAAATCTGAAAGACTACTTGATTGCACCTAGCAGTAAAAACCCTTATAAAATTGACAACGGGGACCTTCACAGCCACTTTTTCGCCATTATGATTGCGAGCAACATGGACTTGTGCAAGGGAAGCACTTGCTATTGGAACAGGATCAAATTCAGAAAAAATCTGCATTCATCAAAGCAAAAATGATCAAAACCTAAATGTAAGCTAATAGAGAATCGAGCATTTAAGAGAGCTTAATCTTAAACCCATACAACCAAAATCACATACTTTATTGGGCGAATCTCCGAGTTCTTTCTTGATGACTTCACACACTTGTTCGTATGAAGAAACTGGACATTTGTTCAACATGGACTCCCTCATTGTCTGGACATACTCTTGAGGTACCAAGTATTCCTGTACAAATTACAAAATCAAATTAACCCAAAAATAATAAGCTCCATTGCTTTCAATCAACGCATAATGTTCCAAATTCAGATTGATCATTTCGAATTCAAATTCGAAAGTTTACCAGCTGCCCGATATGCTGACCGAGCTTGATATATATTCCTCCATTTTTGAAACACAATTCTTGAAGTTTAAGTGCAGACCTAAGGTGAACTTCATGCTTAGCTTTTGCCCTCTCACTGCTTCCTTCAGGAAGTCCCAGCAGTGAATACTCGTAATCTGATTACATACAAGCGATTTCAGGCTCCATTCGAATCAAATTTTCAATTAAACATAACAAATCTGATTAATTAAGCTAAAGCTGCGTTACTAATGCTCGATTTACTGATTACAACTTTGAAACGGCGACGTATTGTAAACCCTAAACCCTAGAATTGACATTGCTTGGAGACAACGGAGAGTTTAAGAGGCGGAGTGGGACTTACCGAAGGCGATGGCGGCGGCTGTCACGGCGTCGCGAACAAGGCGTGGGGGAACGGTGGTGTAGAGCTTGAAAGTCATGCCCGGGTCTTTGGAGGTGGCGGCATTCGCCGCCGCACCGCCGCCGACGAGGGCGGTCGCCGACAGTGCGAGCTTCGTTGCTCTCCACAAGGATCGCGTGGCCATGTGGTTGGGCACGTTGCGTTGCAAAATAGGGGGCGAAGGATGCGAGGGAAATCAATATAAAAGGCTCGCGACGGTGACGTTTCATGAGTTTTGAAGTCTTAGTTTTTTATTATTTTATTGGTTTCGTGAAGCGGTTGTTTAAGGGCTGGTTTGGTATTACTGTGCTTTGCAAAAAAACTGATTTTGCTGTGCTGTGAGAATAAGTGGCTGTGAAATAAAGCAGCAGAGTGTTTGGTAAACTTTTTTGTAAAAGTGCTTTTGAAAAAAAAAAAAAACAGTATTATAATATTTGGTAAACTTTTATGTAAAACAGATGTGAAAAAAGTCGATTTTTCAAAGCTGGGTTTTGCAGCTTCTTGTTTTTGGCTTTTTTTCACCCAAAACTGTGAAAAAAAGCTGAAGCTGAATGTTTACCAAACACAAAAACAGCTCCCAGCTTTTTTTGATACCAGCTTTTTTCAGAATCACCTCAGTACCAAACCAGGTTTAAATCGAGCTATTGGGATGGGCCGGGTTTGATTTGACATAATCCAAACTTAGTGGGCTGGGTTTGGTTGACTTTGGGTCAATTTTGGGCTGGGCTTGCTTCATTTTGTCTAAACACTTCTTTTCTTCTCTTCTTTTTTTTCCCCAATTTATACACAATTAGTGAAATTCTCAATTTAAAGAGACAGCGATGTTGGACTGGCCAAATTTATTGGTAAAATATGTTTAACAAATGATGTGTCAATGTATGTGAGATCTCATTTATTGTTAGTAATATACACGGTTTTTTTTGTTTGTCAAGTTAGTAATATATACGTTTTAAACTGCACTCAAATTTAATCAATCAAACACTGTCACGTCATTCGATGAACAAATTTGCTATTTGTATGCAATTCTCTTTCTTTTGAATTATGAATAGTTTTGCTTTGAAGTGTGATAAGATATGATTATGTGGATGGATGGGGGTGGCTCCTCCTCATTAGTTGGATGAGTCTTGGTTCTCCCTCATTGAAAGAACAATACAAAATTGAACGCACTCCATTATTTGGAATTTAATTAATTTGAAAACATCTCACTCCAAAATTATTGTGTTTGCACAGCTAGCATACTATATTTGTGAATGACAAAGGGGCATGACAAGAGCCAGCCAGGTGAGTCTTTTCCAAAATCTTATCTTTGCCATTATACTTTTAAAAATGCAAAGGTTCATATAACAACGTAACATGTCAGTGGCAGATTCAGGTTTCATAATTTGGGAGGTTCCAATGTTAAATACAAGTTTTCAGATAGAATCATAGAAAAAAAAAACGTGAAGTGTGTAAAAAAAATTTTCGTTTATTCAATAGGCATTTCCTTGAACACTTGGTAGGTTTTTTGTTGTCAGTCAAACTATGTTGTGCACATGTCAACATATATGACATATCCCGAAGCAATACGGTGAGGATATAGAGAAAATTTGTCGAGGTTGTCAAAACAACTTGTCGAGATGTAGTAAGCAGACATTACATGAATCACTTGGTAGGCACAAAAGGGACCCCTATCAATCATTTGAAGAGTCCTGGAAGGACTTTGACATATACATTTTTTCGAACTCTAGGTGGTCTTGGAACCACATTGGTCCCAATGTCCATCCGCCTTGTAACATGCCACATATTTTTCATGACTTATGAATACGAGAACAATTTATATTGTGCGAGTAAACTATGATCACTTGATATTCCGTATTAATAATATAATTTTAAATTAAAAAAATCTACACTTATATTTATATTATAACACGAAACACTACGATAACAATATTCTCATATTGTAAAAGTCATTCCCCATAGTATTTCTATGAGTTGTACGCGTTCATATCCATACTAAAATCCGTGTCCCATGCGTGCCAATGACATGCCCTTTTCCATAATAAATTAACAACAAATGTTTCGAGAAGAAAATTTAAATTGTGTGACAATTTATTTACATCATCCACTTTGCTTTCTAGAAAGCTTTTAATATTAATCAATTTCTCCCGCGTGGTGTACGCGTATGTGCATAATCTAAATGCCCATCTTTGTTCCCTTCAATACTAAGTGAAGGGCCACCCTCATCCCTTCTAGGGGGAGACAAGTTCTTCCTTTCTTTTTCTACTTTTCCTTCATTCTCTTTGCGTGTTTATACACATTTCCGAGTTTGGTACGTGTCCCATGACACCCACACTATGGAGAAGGATAAGGACTACATAAAAGAGGAAATTGAGGAAATTGAGGAAATTGTACAGGGTCTTTCAATTTTAACCTAATCCGAATAATGGTCATTTAACTAAAAATATATGGTCGTTGGTCGCTTAACTCATAAAATCGTGCAGCTATAGTTCTTTTTGTAAACTCTATTAGAACTTCCATTAAAATGAGTTACGTGCCACGCACATGAGGGCGAATCAAGAGGAAATTGTGGAAAACCAATTGAGAAAATTATAGTAGTGGTCCCTCAACTGTAACCCAATTAGAGAAACGGTTCCTCAAGTTTAACCCAATTTGAGCAATGATCCTTCGACTTTAACCCAATTGTAGCAATGGTCCTTCCAACATGACTCACTTTGACGGAAGTTCTGATAGAGTTGTCAAAAAATAACCATAAATGCACGTTTTGATGAGTTAAGAAGCAATGGTCACATATTTTTAATTGAGGGACTATTGCTACAATTTTATTTACATAAAATGATGACGTGTGTTCAACTTTTCGACATGACACCGTATGTTTGATTTTTTAACACAACCACATAAATCAATAGTTGACATCCAACCACAAAACTACACACGACTGATACTAACACAACTAATATCACTAGATACCGCTCAGACAATCACAGTGTGAAAAGCCTAAAGGACCATACAATTGTGATTAGGCCAAGAATCTTACGGCATCTAACAAAGTCAATTTTTCTGTTCTTGTTTATGGTATCATTTGTAAGGTATCCCATGGTAATTTCCTGCGTTGCGATTCCTTCGGGAACAATGTTGATCCTGTGATCTGTCTATCTCAGTCTCATTCATCCATTCATTGTAATTGTGGCAATACAATTCAATTCCCAATCTTTTAGGTGGAAAGTCCCCGTTTTGTTTTTTAGTGCACAAGCATGGAGTTTCTTGGAATCAGATTCCATACGTTGTGTCGTTCATTTTCATGAAATGTCAATAGAAAGGCTAAAAAGCGGTTATGTAACCAAGTAACAATGAGTATGAGACAGTGTGTCGATAACATGGCTCAATAAACTATGTAACTAAATAACAATAAGTACGGAACAGTGTGTCGAGAACAGGACCGAATAAATTAAGCTTCACAATATAAATGGTCATGTGGTATACCGACACATTAAAAATTTTCTCTGATTGTACAAAGAAAAAGTTTGATGAATGCTTAGGCGAGTCCCTCAAGTGTAAGGTTTTATCTCACAATTAATGGGCAATGGAGATCATGACTCAACTAACCACGTAGAAAATTTAACTTGAGGGTGTGGAACATATATATGATCGTTGGACTTTATACGTGGCGAACCTGATTCTATAAAAATTTGAGATTCGACTTAGTTACCAATTAGCAATAGGGAGTGACCCAACTCTTTTTAAGTTCAAATGCAAGATTTCCTAATATATTCTTCACAGCCTCGCGCACATTATATTCTTGAAATGAAAATACAAGTGGAATAAAAAATATGTTTAATTTGTCAGTAAAATTATGATTAAGTGCTATTTTTCTTCATTGTAACTAAACTATTATGAAGCTGAATCAGCTCAAATTATCAACTAATGGAAGTATCATTGTATGTAGAAAAAATGCTTAATTTATAGAGAATATGATTTATTTAGTACAACCATAATTTAGCATTAATATGATAAACCTTATAATTAAGCACCAAATGTCACATGCCATGTTGTCTTCAAGTGAATTGGATCCTCTCCGAGGCAATGCCTCGGGATCTTACCGATTAGACAACATGAATGTTAGATTTTGATCCAACGATTATAAACAGGAGATCAATCTAAAAGTTATAATAATTGTAGTCATTAAATCAAAATCCAACAATCTATGTTATCCGATCAGTTAGATCTCAAGACATTGCCTCGGAGAGAATCTAATTCCGTCTTCAAGGGCCTCCCATGATGTAGTTCTAGAATCACGGCCAATGATTTTTCTGGGATTTGACTCACTAATAATAATCAATAAAAGGCGGCTTTACTTACAAATGTCGTTCACTCATAATTCCAATTTTTTATATTTTTTGTTTTGTCAAACTAAAACTAGTCATACTTTGACAACTTCCCCCTGCTTCTCCTTAGACGACAAGTTAGATATCTCCTTCCCCCAACGAACCCAAAACACTTTATTGAGTCTATTTTTGTTCTCTCTAAATTTAAAAGGAGTTTTAACAAAAAGTCTACGGTACTGTTTATTTTAACGAAAAATCATATTTTTATACTAAAAAATCAATTCTGGTACTATTCACTTTACCCTTTATTTTGTCATTATCATTAAAACTCAAAGTTTTCAAACTTTTTTTATTAATTTTCCTAAATTTAAAAGAAATTTTTTAATGTATTCGAAAAACAGATATATACATCATATATCATTACGCAAATAAAGAGATATATTTTTCTCTACTTATAAAATGATTTATGAGGTATCTGCTTTTATTCTAAGAATATTAGAAAATCTCTCGTTAACCCAAGCCCCAAAGTAACCATTGAATCTTGTCCAGATTTGCACCACATGTCTATTTAACTGAACATGATTGCTTATCCCTATGAAAAAAATTAAACGAAATAAAACTTATGAATTAAATATTTTATGCCTATAATTAAACTTACCATTTACGATTGAACGATGTCAATATCAATCAATTATTAAATGAGGGACAATAAATAGGAAGGCTTTTTTTTTTTCTTAATTAATTTAAGGCAATTGTTATGGTTTATTATTTTAGCACTTTACAAATTGTTGAATAAACCTCATATACTTAATACATTCCATTTACTTCCTCGTAACACCCTCACACCCCACATTCTTAATATACACTTTACATTTTCTATATGCACCTCATATTTTTCATACACCCATTTCTCAAATCTTATAAAGCTTTTAATTTGGACAAATAATGCCGACTAAAATTTTGACAAAAGATACCGTCTGGGATTTAAAGTATATGTGGGTTGTTTTCAATTCCATTATTAAAACTCATGTCGTTTGTTTTTAATATTTGGTGGTAATTTTAAGTGTTTAATTCTTCATGTGATCCTTAAAAGATGAATACGAACATAGAAGCTTGAATAACGCATCAAAAGCAAGATTAAATAATTATCGATGTCGTCAAAATTACTAAAACAATAAATAATATGAAGTCTGACCTTATGTGAAGTTTCTGAAACATCGATTTCGTGTTTCATTCGTCAAAAATAATTTTTCTCAATTAACATGTTTGTAGTTTCATTGGCTAGGGTTTTGTTCAATAATGGAGGGTTGAAGGGGTTTTGATAGTTGAAGAAGATAAATAATACCTAAAAAGTGAATTGGGGTGTATATAGAATATTTTAATTTTTTTTAACCTTACAAAGTCAAAATTGCCATTGCATAGTAGGATAATTAAGTTATTTAATATTAAATTTTAATGTGGGGTACATTCAACATTTTGTGGGGTGCTAATATAACCAGCTACTTAGTATTACTTCTAGTGGTATTCCTCTTCACTTGTAAGTGAGAGCTCTGAGATTCGATTCTCGCCAAATGCGAATTTGAACCATATTATTACTAACTCATTTTGAGGCTAAGTCCACATCATCCCTTTTAGTGTAGATAATATCGTTTGTTTAAAAAAAAAACAAAAAGAGTATAGACTAACCATAGTTTGGAGAGATTTCAATATGTTCAAGACACGAGGCGATAAGCCATATGTTATTATATAATCAGAGAAATGTTTTTGTTTTTTTTTTTCAAATGTCTCGCCAACTGCATAATGACATGTTGTGTTTTGTCTTGTATTCCAGTCACATTAAAAAATATCTCTATAATTTGAATGGGATAATGATTACCTTGGGTTAGGAAGTGAGAAAAACGGATTCGATTTTATTAAATTTGAACCAACTTCTTAAGCATTTGACAGAAAAACAAAATTGAGGCTGCTTTGGCTAGTCTTCCAAGCTGAAGACAGACAATTTTAATTTGGCTTATTACGTAAAAGGGCTTTGGTCAAGATTCACAGTTTCACACATACGATTATATATTTTGTAAATATAATCACCATCCCATCTATGTCAAAAGGTAATGACGTAGATATGATTTTCTTTTGACCATATTGGGAGGCTGGGAGCAGACCGCGCCGTGAGAGTGGAATCCGACGTGATTCCACGCATTCAAAAGGTCATGAAAGAAATGTTCTATCACCTAGATATGTGGACGTCAAGATAAAAAGTGAAAGCGTAACGTTCTTTAACTTCTTTTGCCATGGTTATCTTCAATCGAACTAGAATTTTGCATGCGACTTGTTTTGCACTTTTTTTACCATGCATAAATTCTAACGTGTGAAAAGATGGTGTGAAACAGGTTGCATATAAGTTTTTGTTTATTCCAACAGACCTAAATATTTAACTGTATTATAATTACATTCGAGTGTGTTTTTTTAGCAATGTCTCGTTCCTTTGGTTTTATGTACGTTTTGTGCCAGATTACAAGTCAAGCCTTGGTTTTAGTTTTCAATATTGCATTTTGATGTAAGATATAGTTGGTTTATACACACTGTGTTTGAGGAACCCTTTAAGATTGGGGTCCCGTGCAAAGACACCTATTGCACATGTCCGAAACCGTCACTGACGTCAAGTTAGGAAGAACTTTCTGCATGCGGTAAAACACCAGTCAACAAAATGAACCTACAAATAGGACTCATGACTCACCACTCACTAGCTATTACAGTAGTATTTTAACCACTAATTACGATTAAGCCACCGATTCGAAACAATTAAGCACGTTGTTGTTGTATTTGTAGTTTGGTGGTGTTGTTAGGTTGCTCTCACGCACATTTTGGATCCCGTTGATAAACAAAGCTCAAAGCTGGCATAGCCTGGCATATGTAGTGTGTTTAATAACACAAATATGCCGGAGAAGCACGTTAGCATCTTTACAAACAGCTGGAGGACAAAACTTCAGTTGATCTCGGTGTCTTCTCCAACTTTGCAGGCCATATATACGCTCCTTTAGAAAAAGATGATTACATACAACTTGAAATATAATTTTATATGTCTACAACTCTTATCATCTGATTAAAGTTGTACAAGAGAATATCACCATTTACACGAGAATATAGATAAGACATATCATGCAAAAATATGAGAGTCTACATGTTTTGGTCTTATTGGATGAGAATATTGTCATAATAAGACAATCCTACCCTAAATTTTCTCAAACAACACACATAATCTCTTATTATCTAGCTCATGAAGTTATGTAACACCCAAATAAATATAGGATATTTTCATGCTTATGTTAGGTTTTCTCTCAAAACTTCCAAACGCGTGACTTGACGTCCACATAGATAATAATTGAACGCCACGTATCATTGCGGCCGTTGTATGAAAAATTTTATTAGTATCGGAGGTGGATTGTCTGCCCTTCTATTTCCATACTCTCTCCATACCCTCCTGTTTGTGTGGTCAAGGTTAAGCCATGTTAACATTTTATATTCCTATTACTTTTTGTTTTATTATTTCTATAAAAAATTAATATAAAATGTTGACGTAACTTAATCTTAACCACACATCACAGAAGAGTACAGAGAGAGTATGAAAATGAGACAGCAGACAACCCACCTCCCATTAGAATCACCAACGTGCCAGGCCACATAGGGACGTCGTATCACTGCTGACTACATACAGATTAGGTGCATGATTGCTGCCGATGGATTATCTGGGTCAGTCCCATGGATTTTTAATTTCTTCACCAAAGTTTCCAATGCCAAAGTAACAATCCCATATTTTATGGGTCATTAGAAAATTATTATACAATTGTAAAGTATTTAGCTCTCAGTTATTTAATATTAAGGTTTAGTGGTATTCTTTTTCATTTGTATTTTAAGTTCGATTTTTGTTGAAGATAAATTTAAACTATATTATTATTAGACCATTATAAGCTTTAGCCAATTCCTACCATTTAGTGTAGATTATATTGTTTGTTAAAAAAATATATTTAGCCCCAAATATACACAAACCAAAAAATTATTAAAAACCCTTGATTCGCAATGGCAAATTGTTCCATGTGGTCACATGGTCTCGAATCGGTCGGTTCCACATACCCGGTTCAATTGATTGTCAATTCTTTAAATAGTGAAGTGAACAAATTTTTTGAAAAAAGAAAAAATAGAAAAACTTTCGGTTAGGCGGCTTTTCCCCATTTGATAAGATTTATCCACATTGTACAAGCCTAAATCCTTCTAGACAACTGACCCACAAATGAGACACCTGGCAAAACCCTATAGCAATAAAGTTCAAAATCGTGTGTGCAAAGTATGTTACAGCTAATCGTTCATGCGAGTATTATCGATTCTTGATGATTGATTTATATAAAGCTTATAATGTAACAAGAATCATGCACGCGTATGAAACATATTATGACAAGTTTATTAAATATGCATAAACACAAATTCGAATGATTAAAGACTCACAATGCCTAAAGGATCAATACTCAATCACGAACGTAAACAAAAGTTACTGTGCACGTAAACTTGAAAAATTTGAGACCTGCAATTATTAATGATCACAATTTGTTCATGTGAGTAAGAAACTGTCAATAATAAAATTATCGTGTAACGCACATACATCCATGTAACTTCAAATAATTTAAGATTTTCGATGGATCAACAGTCAAAATTCGCTAACATGCGTAAAAAAAACTATCTGTGGCAAATTACATGCAGGCACACGATGATTTCCCAATGGACCCATTTTCTTAATAAAAAAGAAAGGAAATATGTCATTGCTTGTCGTTTTTGGGGCATTTAGGTATTGCCGTTAACCTTGTGACGAGATATATACCGAGAAAGAGAAGAGAGGACTCGTCCATTTAACCGGCTACGTCCCAACCAAGTCCCAATCTTTGTCATCAAGCAAGAAACGAGTCCAGTCAAAACATTACGCCTAACGCCTGCGCTGCGCACCTTCCCCTCCTTCCCACCCCTTTTTATTACCTTCTTTCTCCCTCTCTCGGTGTCGGTCGAAGAGCCTCCGATTATTCTTCGAACCCAGAACTCGAAGTCGAAAATCAAGACATGGGTTTTTTGAAGGAGGAGAAGTCGAAGAGGGTTCTGAGGGGGGTTAAGACTGTGTTTTTCTTGATTACTATGTTGATTTCTCTGCTGCTGTTTTCGGCTCCGATTCTGCTTGTGATTGCCGATACGCTTCTCCCTTCGGCTATTCTTTCTGCATCTTCGTCTTCTTCTTTGATTTCTCTTGAAGCGCTGTCGTCCCATTTCAATAACTACGATTTTCGATCCTCCCTCGTCGATATTCCGTTGATTTCTATCATCAGATCAGCTGTCATATTCTGTAAGTCTTAATCCTTACTCTTTTTGTTGCTTATTTTTTTGGAACTACTTGTTTTTCTTTCAATTTCTAGCACAAAACTTTGTCTTTGGACAACAAAAGTGAGTTAGGTCGGTTGGTCTGCCGTCCAACCGATCACGTTTGTATTGGGATTGCAGAAATGAGGTAGGATAGCTAGGTAGGACGGCCAGGACAGTCCTGTTGCTTTTCACCCGGGTTTGAATCTCAAAAAGCATATGCTTTGAGATTGCAGGCGTGAGTTAGGTAAATTAACCATAGCAGTTGATCCTGTTGCTTTGCACCGGAGTTTAAATCCTAGTTCAAAAAGCGTATGCTTTTAGACATAAGGGAAGTTAGTTGGTAAGGTCAGTATGTCATGTCACATGAGATATGTTTTTAGGATCGTAAACATGAGTCAGGTCAACTGGGCAAGATAACGTGTTTTACCGCAGCCCGAGTTTGAATCACCTCCTCGTAGATTAGATTTCGCGGCTAATCTGATTATGTTGAAATTAATTTGAATTGGTTTTTTTTTTTTTTTTAATCTGCAGGCGTTTACAGCTTCTGCGATGGACCAAGACTATCACACGGACCGTATTTGGGGATCACCACCATGTGTTCTGTGCTGTCCCTGGTGTTTGTTTCATTGAAGGCTTCGTATGTGTTTGGGGCTTCTGGTGTGGAGAGGGCGGAGTCTGTGAGAGCAACAGATATTGCTCTGTTCATCTGCTCTCTGGCTTTGGCTGTTGGGCATATTGTGGTGGCGTATAGAACAAGTTGCAGAGAAAGAAGGAAGCTTTGGGTGTACAAAATTGACATTGAAGCTGTAAGTCCTTGCTCTCTAATCTCTATTTTCTCAAGGGAGTTTTAACGAAACACTTCCAGTACTATTCATTTTTAACGAAAAATCATATTTTTATTTTTTCCTGATACTATTCACTACACCTTTATTTGTCATTTTTCATTAAAATTAAATTTTTTTTGAATTTTTTTGTTAGTTTTCCGTTTTCACAAATGAAATCATATCAATTTTAGGGCTATAGGTTTGCACTTTAATTGGAAGATATGGAATGCTTAAATTAAAAAAGCAGACGAAAAGTTGGGCGGGTTAGTTTTTTTTCTCTGTCCCCTTCGCCTTGAGTTCAAATTCTCTCCGTCCCTTTCAAAGTTCACATTAAAAACCTTCACTCGTAGGGCAATAACAATCGATCTAGTGATGTTTTTCTTCATGTGTAAATAAGAGGTATTATGATCAAATTTCTAAAATGATGATTTTGCCATCATATTATTCGCCCACCCCTTTATGTAAATATTGTATTACAAAAACGAAGTTTTAAGTATTTTTATTATAAAATAGCATTTTTAATTGAGTTATTTGGGCATAAGCCTTTAAGTCAATTGGGATGTTTGTGGTTCAACCACTACCTTAGAAATTAGCTCAAAAGTTTCAATTTGATTGTTTTGGCCAATAATTTAATTAATGATAATGAAAGGGTTGAATACTTTGAATTTTAAATTTCTAATCTTCTGGAAAGGTCAATATTCATGTTCTTTTTCCTCAAGGCAGCTTTGAAAACGTTTAGGATACTTCCCTGTTACCATATTAATACTAATCTTTGTCCATAATCCCTGCATTTTCCAACTTTTCTTTTTTAATTTTACTATTCTTACGGGCGAGACATGAGGTGAAGGAAATGTTGCTCATTTGTACCCAAAACGTTACAAATTCTAATCATAAAAAGTCTTTTCACAAAATGAAAATAAAGCTGCTTACGATAAATGTTCCCCAATCCTTGCAAAGCAGAAATTTTTTTAAGTTTTCTCTGCGAATTGTTAAAATATATTAGTGAGTCCTGTATTCGAGGAAGAATCCGTGATGTGTGGCCGTTCACACAGATGGGCAGCTTTGCCTTTGTGTTTGAATTGTTGACCACATGCCATTTGCAGCAACTCTGCCAAATATTTTGTCTCATCAGAATAAACTACTTTCGGCCATCAGAATCTTCCCTAATTCATGTGCTTTCTGCTAATCGCCGATTAATCCATAGTTAAACATGATTAAGTATTAAACGTTCATGATTTATCACATGCTGATGTGAAAATTGCCATGTGTTTGCAGGTTTCAGCTTGCAAAAATGGGTTCCCAAGGTACCAGAAGCTTCTGAAAGAAGAAAGGGTGAAGTAAATTCACACGACATGTGAAGTTATTTTTAGCCAATCCCAATCTTACGGGTCATTCAGCTACAGGTAAATTTCACTTTGCAGCGGTAAATTTTCGGAAGTGTTTTATAACGGCTAAAAGAGTTTTGAACTTCTGAGATAACAAAAAACGCTTATAATAAAAACACGTGTGGCCAGAGGTGTTTCTCGTGACGTTTTCCTTTCCGTTTCCCTGTGTTATGTTCTCTTCTCATCTATTTGGTTTTTGTTTTGGTGCAGATTTGTTAATTAAATAGGAGAAGGTATAGAAGCAGCCCCTTCAATCAACATCATGTTGTGCAAATGGAGGTTGTGCGTAGAGAGAGTATAGAGGTGGTTTCCACTGCAGCAAATACATCATTTTTTTTGGTTCTTTTCATTCAACAATTGTACAGTTAAATTTGTATGTAAAAGGCATAATATTTATGAAACTAGCCGAAGTTTGTGATGTTCGTGCAAGTGCCTAACCATAGCATACCCAAATCATGAATTGGCCTATGAATTTTCAGCATGGTTTTGAAAAATCGTCTCTAAAACATAAGTTATCAATACATTTGTTTCTCTACAAACATGGGTTTTGAAGAAGCCACAATCATTCATCGTTCTCAAAATCTACTATTGATATTAATTCTAAGAGAAATGTTAAGGAGGTTATTTCAAAAGTAAAACTCTTTGTTATATTATGTTTTTAATACTATGTTCTATAATGTTGACACGACAATTGACGTTAAATTATAAAGTAGCAGAGAGTCTCTTGCATTTCTCCAATTCTAATATTTGACAATCTAACAAATTTTTTTTAATTAAAACTCGACTTAATGATATTTTTCTTCTGAGCGTCGAGAGATTTTAAATTTAAATTCCGAAATGTACAGTGTGTTTATGTTTTTTATTGGTGCCGCGCACGGCTCGGGTGGGGGGGTGGTGCGTTATAAAAGCAGAGCGCGCTTCTACGTTGTCCCCCCTGCTTGCAATGCAAAACAAACGACGTCGTTCTCTCTGTTTAACCCCGTGTCGTAGTTTTTTGAAGCAAAACCAGTGCGAAAAGAGCCTCCGCAACTCCAGAGCTCGAAAGAAAAGGACTGATGGAAAATGAGGTACAACTTCGACCTGCGGGCGACGGAACCGGAGCCGGGACTGTCTCCGAAGCCCCGAAGAGACGAAGTGGAGTGGGTCCCGCTGCGGAACCACCCGGTCTTCTCCTCCTCTCCGGTCCATGACTCGACCGCATCTCGGGCGCCCAGAAATCTCTTGGCCTGGGACGGAGCGTCTCGGCTTTACTTCTGGGACTCCGATAAGCTATGCCTTCATCGGATATCCATTCGGCGAACCAGACCCGACTTCCATCAGCGCTGCTTCCCCTTCCAAGGTTTCCTCTATTTCCCTCATTTTTTTTTAACTTCAATTTATTATATTCTGTTTGGTTACTGAGAAAATTGAAGGATAAGAAAGCAATTGCAATTACTTTCCTTGCTTGGATTTGATGATAACAGAAAGTGATGATTTTGAACCTATATTTTGTATAAGAATTGAAAAATAGTTGAAAAGAGAATTCTTTTAGAGCACTTCCATCGGAGGCATATTAGGCCGGCACCTAGATAAAAAAACAGGCTGGGACTCAGTCAATCCACTCCAGCCCACAAACTTGCCTGGCACCCAGCCCAAGCGGGTCTCCAAGCCAACCCAAACTTGACTGACCGAGGGACCGGCCCCTTTTTTGTTTTGCGCCTGGCACGTGGCGTTCACGCGGCCGCGAGTACCTGACAGCCGTTCAGAGGCGGGGCTCGTGGCGGAGGCGCACTCACATCCCACCCCGGGTAGGCGATGTGGCCCACTGTTTGCTGTTGGATTTCCAACGGCTAGTTTTTCTAGACCGTTGGATTTCCAACGGTAAAAAAATTGAATTTCAGTTTTGATCTGTACCATCCAATCACAGATCAACGGTCCATGTTTTTCTCCCAAATCTTATCCGAAATTAAAACTATTTTATTTATTTATTCTTTTATAAAAAAATTTAAAATATTTTAAATGGGTTGGGTGCCAGCTCATTTTCTAGGTGTGAAGATTGTTTGTGCCAGCGTATTTTTTTAGGGATGGAAATGCTTTAGCCTATTATTGTTTAGTGAGGTCTATTACTGTTCAAGTGGATAAATGGGCTGTATGCTGTCGCAAAATCTTTAGGAGGTGGAATTGCTCTTAAAGATGATTGCGAGATATGTTTCTTACTTATTTTTAAATGCATTGTTGATGATGCTCGTAATTTAATAGGTACTGCAACCGGATGTAAACCTCGACTTTGCGGTTCATAAAATATCGATCAATAGGGATGGATCAGCATTGCTCCTTTCTGGTTCGAGTGGTCTATCAGTGATGTACCCTTATGGGCGGACTTCCAACAAAGACAATGCAACCATTTGCAGGTATTATCGGAAGATGGCAATACGTTCTTATTTTTCATTTTCATCTTAAAACACGTTCTTTGGGTTGTCTTAGAAAGCAGCTTTAGCTAGGAATGAATTGTCATGGTGGTTTAGACTATACATTGACATGTTCAATCATGCTTAATTTATGTATTAACTTCTTTTGCAATACCTGCACTTAGAGAGTATGGAAACTTTTAGAAAGAAAGAAAAAAAATATAGTAAGGCGCAAAATATAGGGAGTCCTCTTCTGATCTTTCTCTTGGAACACAATATTATTTATTTTGTTCCCATCTCCCCTTCCCTCGCTATCAAAGTTATCATCCTGATTTTTTATTTTAGATTTTGATGACAAGTTTGTGCCTTTTATCCGAGTACTTGCTCTGGAAATTCATGTGCTAGCCTGTGTTCCCTTCCCTCGATGTCAAAGTTATCTCCCCTTCCCTTGCTATCACCTGTGAACTTGATCAACCTCTTGATAGTACTCTTTGGTTGGGGCTTCCTCCCCTTCTGTTGAGATTGGCTACTGTGGATCTGGCTCTGCCTAGGAAAGCAAAGAGTGGTTCTCTTATTAGGATGTTTACTTATCCCCTGATGTTGGAAAGAATTAACACCCTTCATGATGGAGGGTTAGATTCAATAGTGTTGCATTATCTTCCGTTTACGAGTCATATTAGTGGCAAGAACCAGACCATGAGAACTCCTTCAGTGCATCCTGTTCTAAGCACATGCCAGGGAGACGACCCCTCGCAATCTCCGCTATCAGGTTTTGTGTCATTATCAGATTCATTTGGCTGTTCATGGATTGTGGGACTCACTGTTTTGCAAGAATTTATAGTGCTGGAGGTGAAGGCTTGGAACCTATTGCTTCCTCTTCAAGTCGATATGGAGAACAATTTTCTTTGCCTTGAAGGACCAAACGAGAAAGATATGCCAAATCTTATAAGCAAAGAACTCCTAGTTGGACTTAAGGTGGTTCTTCTTCCTCAGAGCTCACCAAGGTTGCGTTCTCTTTCTGCTGATTCTATTGAAGGTCGACCAAAGCTTCATGAGTACTTCAGAAGCTTTCATGAATATTATGCAGAGTATGCATATAAGGTAAGAAGATGCCAAGCAACACACATACAAACCATGTTTAGTTGTGTCAAAACTACCTTCTTTCGGGAAATGGTTCCTTTTTTGTTGCTTTATGAACTTTTCCTCCAATTTTCTGGACCCATCTTGAAGAGGATAATTGATGACCAGCATGCTCGCCTAGGTGCTGCACAACAGAGGCTTTCGCAAGTTGGGGAGAAACAATCAAAATTGGAGGACAGAATTGATAGTGCAATCCAGATGCACAATCCTCCGGAGGAGCACTTGAAACGTTTGAGGAACTTGCCTGGGCCTCATAAGAAACCACTGTCGAGAGCTGAGCGGGAGTTCAAGTTAGAGCTTGGTAATGACCGTTCTTCAACAATTACTGTACTGATATAGCTTTTTCCATAACAAATGAGCTTAGGAGTTATGCACTAGTTCGTAGTCAGTAATTTTCTGTTTTCCCATTTTACCGGTTCCCCAAATCGTCATGATTCACTCCTGTTTAAGTTATTAGCCTATACATTTTTGGTTCTGGTGGTTTCATATCTTGCATGGCCAGCACTACTTGTTCACTTTTAACATACATTTTTTGTTGCTAAGCAGACCACTTCTCAGGAGTTGAATTGGATGAATTACGTTCTTCCATCAACGCTGTAACTGCAAGGTTGAGAAGGCACACACAATTCCCCGAAAAGCAATGCATCAAACCAACGTCGGCCGACAGCAAGGAGGAAAGATCCTGTGCAAGAATCTCAAGTCTCCCATCTGAAATCCTCACTTGAGAAACTTTCACTGCTCAATTGAAAATTCGAAAAGATGCTGAGACCTACTTTGTTTCTGAATCTGTGATTAAGTTATGGTAACCCGGATGTACGTTTTGAACCTATGGCGGTGCACGGTATGTCCTTTTATTAAAGACGGTGCCATTTTGAACGGTATTGCTCGGCACGCCAAGTGTAATAATTTTGAAGCTTGAAAAAATCTCTCGCTGGTGTGCCACTGCCAGGCACAAGCAGAAGAAGGGATCGAAGAGGAAAGTTCGCGTGGATTTTACACTTATTCATGGATAGTTTTTGTGTCGATTATCTTTTTCCTTTTTAATAATTAAAGCGCTTTAAGATAGGCTAAAACCAAAAAGACCTGCAAATTCTCCAATCACCACCTACTAAACCTAAAGGTTATTACAAACTAATCCATAAATTAATTAATTAAATAAATTTTAAGAAAAACTAATAAAAAGAACTTGAAATTTTTGAGTTTTAATGATAAGGACAAAATAAAGGGTAAAATAAATAGCACCAGGTTTGATTTTTTAATGTAAAAATGTGATTTTTCGTTAAAGTAAACAATACCGTGACTTTTCGTTAAAACTCCCTAAATTTTATTGGGTTGGAGATCAAAGGTTATTACAGCTCTACTACTACTTTACTCTTTACATTGCCCATATGACACATTGTTCCTCCGCTGCACATTGATCGGGTACCTCTTCTGCGTCCTCGTCGTCGGAAAAAACACCAGCTTATCTTCCTCGGCAGGAACCCAACTGCCAAAATTAACATGAACAATTAGCATAGTTAGTTTGACGGGAAATATGCACAAATACAACTAGTTGCAAATGTTTACTCAAAACTAGAACCAGGAAAACTAAATAGACAATAACCCGTATACAAAAAAACACTGTTTCATGCCGCTTTATTACCATTTTAGTGTCCCTGAAGTTTTACTTCAGAGTAAAAATTTGTTACCGATTCTATTTGTGTGGTTTACATTGTATTTTGCATACCTAAAACGAGTGACTAAGTGATGAAGGAAGACGGAGATTTCTACTCTAGCAAGCTCATAGCCGGGGCACAGCCTTGGCCCTCCTCCAAATGGTGTGAACACATTTGATGGGCTTGTGGTCGGACCAGATTTGTTCTACAAAATCATGTTTATAATAATTAATTAGATAT